CTAGCATTTAAGGAGTTTTCTCTGTTAGAAGTCCAAATAAACAAATAAATCAGTAACTGCCACGGCGGTGTTCAAGTTAAGCAAGGTACACGGTCTTCCGTTCACTTATGATTTAGGTGTCTTCATGGCTAGTGTGAGTAAGCACTTAATAAACTAGTGCGACTTACCATCAACGACTGCATCACTGTTTACCATCAGGCAGGATCGCAATCAAGCACTACTGTACATATATGATTAAAAAAATCATTTATAGTGGATCACAGTATGATCCCCGAAATGCCCCGGATGGACCTTATAGTGATGACACCCGGGCGTTTCCTCCCGCTGAATCCGAAAGGCTTCTTCCGAAATATCCATGCCCATTAAGCGCCTGCGTCAGATGGTAGGTAAAAACGCTGTAGTGTCTCTCCAACCACTCTTTATAAAGAGGACGTAACTATGCGATAACAGCGCTCATGGATGACATGCCATTTTGACTATTCGACACAATAACTAATGGATCGATGCTGGTTCAACGAAACTTAAACCACGAAGTCTTGTGCCATGCGAAAGCAGTTCCAATTTATGGATAGATGGACAAACTTGAGATAAATAAAGAGATAGATAGTTTAGATGGTCAGTTTGTGCGGTCCATTGCCAGTGACGCCCTTTTGGGCGCCAAAACATAAAATTAGTCAATTAGTGCGGTCCATTGCCATCAACGTGGCCCTGTTTGGGCGCCAAAACATGAAATTACGTCCGATTTGTTAAAGTAATACTATGTGTACCTTCATGGATATCTGTCGGTTCAGCACATTCAAAGGCCATAGAACCATAAACCACCTTATGCAACTAGAAATTGCTGGCACTATTGGGAAAGTAAAAAGCTCTTGGTACGGTTATCTTAACCTAATGAGATAGACAAGACACAATATCTTACTATAATAAAGAGGTAAAATTTGTAAGTTTGTATGTAGGGGGTAATCTTTGGAACCGCTGGTCGGATTGCCAAAATTCTTTCACTGATAGATAGCTACAATGTTCCTGAGTGCTATAGGCTATAAAACATCACGCTACGATCAAATGGAGCTGAGCAGCGGCTGAAACCGCGCGAGAGTATCTAGTAGAATAATAAATGAACACAATGAAGAACTCCAAAGCAGAAAACCATAAACAACATCTATAAAATTGAAATGTAGGTGCAAAGGAAAATAAAAAAAGGAAAGTCTTAAAATAAAACATAAATACTAAATAAACAAAAAATAGAAGTAGGACAATCTTAATCATTAAACAGTTTGTCACGCCCAAAGTTTTATTGATTACAAACCTCCTCGCTTCAATTTGCTGCAGCTTTCTGCACTCGCCGGCAGGTAAAGAAGGAGTCAAAACAGAACTTATCTTAGTCTTTTAGACAATCAATAATAGTAGGCTCGTCCACTCCTACACAATTCCTCAAATCCATGAATCCCAAAAGACCGGCAACATACTTGTAAGTCCTCTGGGGTTGCAGTTGCGGATTTCCACTCTTTACCACCAAAAAACTCTTTTGTGGCCTACCTACGAAGACTACATAATATACTCAAAGGTGCACAAAAGCCCATGAGATGGGACAAGCCCGCCACAAGCTTCCATAACCGTTGCAACTCCTGTAAGCACGGATCTACAGTAGATACAACCATGAAAACACCGGAACATTGAAGTCTGGCTCGTTCCAGGGACATGAATGACTGTCTTAGATCCCGCAACGAAATAAATCAGACGATATTATTTGAGGAGACGAAAAAATTAAACTCTTTCCTATGTTCCTAAATTTAATGCAGGAGGCAGAATGACTTAAGTCTTATAAGCACAAAAGAGACTGTACCTACAACTAGGAGAAGCCCAGTCACGAAACACGACGGATAATTTAGGTACTTACTATTGTAATGGGACCTATGTGGGAGCTGCAATACTTATTTCCAGTGTAGCAACTCATATAGATTGACAACAACATCCAACAGATAGCGTAACAAGTTCTGCATCGCGCAAGTGAAGTTTGCGGGCTAATAAGCACGTATAAAAACCCAACGTTCAAAGAAAAGCATCAGTCCGGCTGGTAGAGACTCCGCCCACACCGGACTCGACTACGCGCCGCTAACAGCTCGCTGCTCGCCGGACTCGCCCAGGCTCGAGCGCGGCTCCTAGCGGCGCCACCCACTAGACATGACCGCGCGCCGCCAACAGCTTGCTGCTTGCCGGGCCTGCCCTGGCTCGAGCGCGGCTCATGGCGGCGCCACACAAAGGACACGACCTCATCGGGCTCCGCAAAAGGCCCGACTACTCTAACGACCTCGCTTGCTGTTGCAGGCAGCGAGTGATAACGCCGAGACAGGCATCGGCCTGGATCGCGCGACCTCACGTACCCGCCAGGCACGATCCCTGGTCGAAGGATACTCCTTTTCCGATACTATGGAACTTAACTCTCTGTTCCCCAAACCAGTAATAGGTTTAGCAAAAACGCCTAAAAGCACGGAAATTTGTTCTAAATTTGATAAACCACACCTAACGAAAACCCATTAAATGTGCAGAAACCCAATAAATATTTAGAATTAGATTTCTTAGGGTTGTGCAAAAGCAACCATTAATGGAATGAAATTGAATTTCTATCCGAGTGCCCTGAGTTTGAAAGCAAACTGTTACCCCGGTGCTTGTCCTGGAAAAATGGGTCATCGATTCGCTGAGCCCGTTACAGGTGGCTGGGACGTACGAGAGCCACTCGCATATTGATTCATGGACCTATATCTTTATTTGATGCTTGACTGGTTCGATTGGGATTGTATTTGAAGTATAACATAACTTTAGAACGAAATCAAACTTCAAAATTCCATTATATATAATTCTAGCAACGCACCCCCGGCTTCGCACGGGTGCAAAACTGATTCATAATTTCTCTGCTATTTAATTGGTGCTATTATACATATTATCACTCTCTCTTTCTATGAAAAAAAAAACCGCATCAAAATTCGTTGCGTAGTTTTAAAGATTTAAGCGTATGTACGGACTAGGGATATAGGGACAGATAAAGCGCCTTTGTTTTATACTGTGTAGTGCAGTAATATTTGACTTTATTTGGAAGTCTAAAGCCACGTAATAATATTTCTAAAATCATGCTTAACATTGTTTGCTACCTGATACATTTGGTATCGAGCTCCGTGACTGTCATAAGAGCCAACTATGGAACCCTGTTATATGAATAAAAGACTGGATCTTGGTTACTTTGACTGTACTATCACAGTACACAGTCGGACAGCTTACTGCACCAGAGTTACATTGTCAATGACCGACACTTCTTCAAAGAACCCTAGCAGAAAAGCTTTCCGATTAACCTGTTTTTTTACAAACTCCAATTGCTTACATATTTTTCCATGGAGTTTTACCCAAGTTAAGCCAGTTTGAGTTTGCCTTACAGAAAACACAGTTTCGAAATCTCATACAAATATTCTAGTAATAAAAAGTTATGAATTTATTTAGCTATCATCTCTTTTATAAATATACATATATACATTTTATTATGGATCTGTTGCACGAAGCCTCATTAACATTCTGTTATTCTATTTCGTCCACTGTTGAAGTCACACTATCATCATCAGCCTATAAGTGCCCATTACTGAGCAAAGGCGTCTTCTCACACGGACTAAGTTTGAGCCATTATAATCACGCTTGCTCAAGGCGGATTGGCGATTTCAAATTTATAATTAGATATTTATAAGTCCTGGTTTCCTCACGATGTTTTTCTTCACCGTAGGTATGTCAGAAGTGTTTAAATAATCATAGAAAGTACATATAACTCGGAAAAGTCACATTGGTACTTGCCAGGCTGGTCTACCACAACATACGATACATCACCATAACACTGTTGGACAATCTGCCAGTAATTGCTATACGTGATAAGTTGATAACGCTATGCAACCAAAATCCAGGCACTGAATATGCAGCTATTTGATGTCTAGTTTCTGCCCTATTCAATCACAGCGTTACTGTAATATATGTTATATACCTATGTACATAAGGCACCATGCAGACAGAAGGGGAACGTCAAATTGTGTAATTGAAAAGCGACCACCGCGGCGCGTTGCATCGATCGAGTATACATCGTGATGTTTCTCTAAAATGGCTATTTGCTATTTGATTGATGTTTAAATAGTATGCGGTTTCCTTCATCTGAGCTTCGGCAAGGGTGGGAGAGCTAAGCTTCGGCACGAATAGGTCGGCTCGACCGAAATGATACTATGGCCTCCTTTGATCAACAATACCAACTAGATAACGTGTCACGGACAAAATCAAAGCCAAATACTGTCCGCGTGAATTTATAACTACACAGCTGCATTCGTTTACTAACGTACTGAGATAAAAGTTTTAAAACAGTTTTAAGTTTAACTTAATTTCAACCATGGCACCTCTTGGTTGATATTGTTGATCAAAGACGGTCTCACAGAAGACCGGCGTGAAGCAAGCAACCACAGAGTTGTGTTTCGCCGTGTGAGTGAGGTTACCGGAGGCCCAAACCCTTCCCTTCCCTCAATCCTTAAATATCCGAAGCACTTATCCCCAAAAGGCCGGCAACGCACTCGTAACTCGTTTGGTATTGTGGGATTGTCCATAGGCGGCGCCGATGGCTTTCTATCAGTTATTCGTCTGCTCGATCGTCGTGTTCGCATATATAAAATTAGTTAGGTAAGGTTGGATATATTTCAGGGAGTAGCTACAAATGATTCGGCAATACCCGCCCCTCCGAAACTTTGATTGGTTTTTAGTCAGTAAGACTCTGACAGTCCTTATGGTGCTTCTCCCACGCGGAAGGCTTTCTAGAGGATTTTCCAACTAGTTAGCAACCCGTTACCAAACAAACAGATACATAAAGAAACATTATTTTAGTGCTTCAAAAAGTTTACATCGATAAATTATGTGTTTGGAGCAAGTAATACATGCGATTCTGATATTAGATTTTAACCCTTTTTAAAACCGGTTGGGGTTTCGAAAGCATGCTGTATAAAAACGAATGGAATCAGAGCTCCCGTCGGGAGGTTTATATTTTGAAGCCATATGTAGGTATGTACCTATATAGACAATCTGTCTGCATATCCGTCGGCTGCCTACATTGCTCGATTTGGAATGGTTGAAAACAGTTTTCATTAAAATGAATTTTTGATTAACTAACCCAAATAGAAAGTGTATCGGGGTTATGGGTCAAGCGGCATAATGGACCGCGGCCTCGGCCTTTTTTTGTGAGAAATTCATCAAATTACCTACTTCTCTCGCCCAGGGTGAGGTGAGAGGGAGTTTCAGACTCTTACTGACTAAAACATTCCGTTTCTTCTCCTGCTCCGAGGTAGCGGTACCTTAATGCGCTCGCAGCGTATCCCAGGCTAAATATCATTTTTTTAACATTTTTTATGGAATTGACTGTCACGACGCCATTTTTTTTATGTCAAAAAGCACATTTATTTCTTGAAAGTTACGACTAAAAGAAACTAATATCATACACTTCTGTTTTATACTTACTAGGTATAACATAGTATAAAACAAAGTCGCTTTTTCTGTCACTATACCTCTATGTAAGCTTAAATCTTTAAATCATAAATAATTTATTTGTTTGCAAACTTTTTTAAAATTACGCAACGGATTTTGATGCGATTTTTTTTTTGAAAATAGAGTGATTGAAGCGGAAGGTTTACATGTAGGTAAAATAAAATGCATTAACAATGCAAGAAATTTAGTATCAGCTTTGCAGCCATGCAACGGGGGCGGGTCGCTAGTAACGTTTATAGTTAAATCAATTAATAGAACTATAAGTAATAGGTAAATTTTTGAAAACTGAAATATCCTAATTATTTTTAACCAATCAACTACCAAATTATTCCTTGCAAAGGTTACATAAACCTGATCACTCAACCATTGATCCAAACATATAAAAGTTTGTTTATACATATAACCTTCGCTACGTGTCCTGCCGAACCCCTTCTCGTAATATGCATGGTCTTATGTAATGGCCCTTTAAAAGCTAATAAGGCGTAATAGAGGTCAAATTATGCACTGATGCGTTGGTTCCATTCCCTACCAATCTAAATATAAAATTGCAACCCCGCCCATGGACACTCGTCATACCAAAGGAGTTACTACAAGTGCGTTGCCGGCCTCTTGTGGCTTATTAGGGATATAAGGAGAAGAGAATTGAGGATTTCCCCTCCCCCAATCACTAAAACTTCCAACCCTAATCCCCAAAATGTCTGCAACGCATAGAGACATAACTCCTCCTTTGTTGCGATTGTCCATGAGCTGCGCTGAATGATTACCATTAGATAATCCAGGTGCTAGTTTATCGTCTTATCACATAAAAAAAAAGAAAAATCTCTTGAACACACACCCCGGCTGGATATCTGAGGTGATCTGATAAGTTTTCGATGCCGTATGCTCGGGTTAGGTTCCAGTCGGGCAGCGAGCTTGCTCGACATCATTTGACTCCCGCAAAATATTGACTCTCGTCGACTTTATTGATATTGACTAAACATTGACTCTCGACTTTGAAGTTCAGGTCTATCAGAAAACGCTGCTACCTGATCTTCGTCATTCGCGTTAGCAGACGGCATACCCTTAGTCACCTTAGGGATGCTGTCAAATGCATTATGTACATTAGCAGCCTATACATGTCCACTGCTGAGCCTCTTCTCACACGGAGAAAATTTAAGCATTTGTCACCACCTTTGCTCAAGTTAGATTGGCGATTTCAAACTTATAATTCAAAATTCATAAGTTCTAGTTTCCTCACGATGTTTTCCGTCGCAGTATGTCAATGAAATCTTAATAATCTTTAATCTACAGAGTACATAATATGACTTTGCCGAGTTATAGGCAAAGTCATATTGGAACTTACGAAAAACGGGCGCCTTAACCTCAGAAATACCCATCGCGACAGCTATTAGGATATTATTTAAATAATCTTTATCTTCCACAGGGTTCATAGAAATGATGTCGGCATATGTGCCGCAATTCGGCCATATTGACGCTGGGCTGGTCTGCACATGGGTTCTGGAGCTCGAGGCTGAGCTCAACCAGCGAGATGACACGGACTCGCTTTCAAACCATGGTGAGTAGCCAGGATGTCTTCTTGGGATGTGCGGTTATAGGTATTCCACTGTACTCCAGATTTGATCTAATTATGGGGCTGATGTTCAGCTGGGGTTGGACATCGAATCGGGGGGTTTGAGGGATCGAGAGACGATCTCCGGCCACCTTGAGCATGGGTCTGCGGACGGCGAGTAGCGTAGTAGGCGACCAGAACCAGACCCGAGCGTACGGCGCGTAGCGTTTCACGCGCGCCTCGAAGAGCCAATAGACCACCACAGACGGGGCCCTATAGGGCTGATGCTTAGCAGGGGTTGCGGGGTAAGCGCAATGAGGCACCGCAGCCTCGGCCCAGAGCAGGAGAAGGAACGGGGGGGTTTAGTTAGTATGAGTCTGACACTTCCCTCTGCAATACTCTGGGCTGGAGAAGTAATTTGATGATTTTTCCCCTCACAAAAAAAAAGAGTTGGTCTAATTAATTACAAAACAGAATATAATAGATGACTACAGTGACCGTCACGTGGTACTTGTAAGAACCCCTCATTGACTGGTCTTCCTTTAGTAAAACCTTTTACTAACCCTACTGGAGGACTCGTTTCTTTTTGTCAAGTCAAAGTCAAAATCATTTATTCCAACTAAATCATAAATAGGTACTTTAGAAACGTTAAAATAGAAAAGTAGTCTGTCAGTCTGTTCTTCAGTGAAGCTAAGTACTCGTTCCAAATTGTAGATTCAAATTGAGAAGATCAAGGAAGAAACTCCATCGTTACTCTTTAAAAAAAGAATGTTTTAAAGTTTCACTAATACATTACTGTATACATATGTGTGAGAGAGAGAGAGAGAGAGAGAGAGAGAGAGAGAGAGAGAGAGAGAGAGAGAGAGAGAGACAGAGAGAGAGAGAGACAGAGAGAGAGAACAATGCCAAGAAAAATTTTATCAGCCAAAATTGCTAGTATGCTGTTAGGACCCTGTCCCTTCTGCAGTCTTTGCGCACTGCATCATTATCGATCTGCAAATTGTACCATAAAATGGATGTTTTGATAATTTTCTGTGAACTGTATGAAACCTTGTTTCAGATGATTCTGCGAGCAGCGATAGACTCAGCCTTACTCTGCAGAATCTCAGCGAGATGCTGCCTCCGATGACCAAAAATAGCAGGTAACAAATCATAGGATTTCTGATCTATAATAATATTATAAAGAGGTAAAAGTAAGTTTGTATGTAGGGGGTAATCTTTGGAACCGCTGGTCGGATTTCCAAAATTCTTTCACTGATAGATAGCTACAATGTTCCTGAGTGCTATAGGCTATAAAACGTCACGCTACGACTAAATGGAGCTGAGCAGCGGGTGAAACCGCGCGAGTGGTCGTGGTCATGGTATGTCCTTGGTGGCTGCCTTTGCGATTTGTCTCTACTTTTTCCTGTTAGTGGCATTCCTCGCGCACTCTACAATTGAGCTGGATGTCACTGATTTTAAAATATCCGTCCATCTAGTTGGTGACCGACCACGAGGACACTGACCCTCTTTTCTACCTTGCACCACCAATCGTTCCATTGAGTCTTCGCTTCGAATGATATGGCCAAACATTTTAAGAGTTCTTGCTTGCGAGAGTAGCTAGTCTTACAATAAAAAGTCGGTTCATGTAGTATCAGGTGGGAGATTTAAGTGCTAGAGAGCCACACTTTGGCACCAATGGGTCGGCTCGACCGGAGCGATAATACGGCCTCACAGAAAACCAGTGTGAAACAACCACAGCGTTGTGTGAGTGATGTTACCAAAGGTCCAATATTTCTTCATCATCATCAGCCTATATGCCCACTGCTGAGCAAAGGCCTCTTCTCATAAAGATAATGTTAGAGCATTAATCACCACAATTGCTCAATACGGGTTGGCGATTTCCAATTTACAATTATAAATTACTAGCGGCCCGCCCCCGCTTCGCACGGGACCAACTATCTCGCTATCAAAGGGTCACTTTTTCCTAATATTCCCCTCTACTTTTCTAATATTTTCTTTGATAAGAACCTTCTCCTGACAATAACAAACAACAAAAAAAGAATTAGCAATATTGGTCCAGGCGTTGTTGAGTAATGCGCTAACCAACACATTTTGCGATCTATTTTTATATATAAAGATAAGTCCAGGTTTCCTCACGTGTTTACCTTCACCGTATGTCAGTGGTGTCTAAATAATCAAAGAAAGTATATATAACTCGGAAAAAGTCACATTGGTACTTGCCAGGGCTTAACCTCCGGGCCACCACGACATGACAATATTTCTTACCCTACCACCCCTATCCCTAAATCTCCGAAACTGTAACCTCGTATAACCTCTGGTGTTGCGAATGTACATGGGCGGCGCTGATTGCTTACCATCAGGTAATCCGTCTGATGGTTTGCCGACCTATCAAATAAAAAAAACCTTAAAACTGCACATAACTATAATATAATAAGCTGAAAAAAAATCTCAAACTTCTAGCAGCAGGTCTCACTCCAACTCCGAGTCTTCTGAGAGCGTGGAGGGCAACAGGCGCCCTCTATTGGAGGAAGATGTGCACGCGGAACAGTGCAGGGCTCTCGCTGAGATGTTCCCTAATACTTGTGCTATGGAGGTAGGTTAATAAGCAACAATTTTTATTTATTTGACTGCACAGTTGGCGCGGTGGCTGGGCAACTGGCAGCTGCGCAACGTGTTGCGGGTTCGATGCCCGCACGGAACAACAGTTTGTGTGATCCACAAATTGTTGTTCCGGTGTTCCGGTGTGTTGTGTATGTGAAATTGTATGTTTGTAAACGCACCCACAACACAGGAGAAAATCCTAAAGTGGGGCAACGTTTTTTTTTAAAAAAAAGAAAAAAAAAATCTTTCTGCGACATAAAATAACATAGGCGGAATGAATGCCATAGGTATTCTTACCACACCTTAGGGTGATGCAAAGAGACCACAGACGGAGCTCTATAGGGCTGATGTCAAGCGCAATGAGGCACCGCAGCCTCGGCCCAGAGCAGGAGAAGGAACGGGGGCGTTTTTAGTTAATAAGAGTCTGACACTAGGGCGGCAGAAGGTGATATTCTCTTCACATAAAAGACCCTTGCAATTTGGACCCTTTATTATTTATTTTATTTATTTATTTATTATTGCTTAGAAGGTACATTTTACATTATAAAAAGTATAAAATGTCCAACAAAACTGTATACTCAGTTTGTCTGTTGGATCAGATTTCTAAACTATTGACTTACTATAGGTTCTATTAAGTTAAGTTTACTGTCTGCAGATAAAACATTGCGTCTCAATCGGCCACGGCGACGTAGAGCGCGCTGCGGCGACATTGCTTCACCGTCGTGAGCAAGGACAGTCGCTGTCTGCCGCCGCCCTGCACTCCGCGGCGCGCACCCCGCTCTGTGACGATAGCGAGCTCAAGAACAGGATTATTGCTCGGTGAGTAACACGGTCCTCAAGATCCCCCCTATAGGTCTATCTTACATCATTAGGTTATAGCTTGCATTGTCCTCAAGCCCCTCAAGTTAGAACATTAATCACCACGCTTGCTCAATGCGGGTTGGCGATTTCCAACTTAGAAATTATAAGCCCAGGTTTCCTCACGATGTTGGATTATTTAGTCAGTGGTGTCTAAATAATCATAGAAAGTATATATAACTCGGAAAAAGTCACATTGGTACTTGCCAGGTTTCAAACCCACACCCTCATCCCGAGCGTACGGCGCGTAGCGGTCCGCGCGCGCCTCAAAGAGCCATTACACCACCACAGACGGGGCCCTAAAGGGCTGATGTTCAGCCGGGGTTGCGGGGTAAGCGCAATGAGGCACCGCGACCTCGGCATAGAGCAGGAGAAGGAACAGGGGGGTTTTAGTCAGTAAGAGTCTGACACTCCCTCCTGCCCGGCCCTGGGCGGGAGAAGTCATTTGATGATTTTCCCCTCACAAAAAAAAAACACCCTCATACATGAGAAGCGGCTTAACCTCCGGGCCACCACCACAGAATATAGTCAATGAGAATTGTCCTCAAGCCCCCCTCCCCCTTATAGCTCTTTCTCATCAGCCTATAAGTGCCCACTGCTGAGCAAAGGCCTCTTCTCACACGGACAAAGTTTGAGTATTAATCACCACGCTTACTCAAGACGAATTGGCGATTTCAAACTTATGATTAGAATTTAAAGGTCCAGGTTTTCTCACGATGTTTTCCTTTACTGAAATCGGTTCAGTAGTTTAGGCGTAAAGAAAAGACAGAAAGACGGACAGAGTTACTTTCGCATTTATAATATTATCAGTTTGTATTAGCTAAAAGATAATTTTGTGTATCGACAGATCGATGAATAAAATTTTATTGTATTGAAAAGTCGATTTAATTTATTTTGTCCTACAAAACCATCCGATTGAGGGATTATGAGATTGGAGACGGGAAAATGAAGCTATTTTATCCAAAAAAATATTTATGGATGTTATTAAATAGAGTGAAATATTTCCTTGCAGATATTCGTATGTGGACAAGAATGCTGATCAGAAGGAACACAAGCCACTTGCTCCTAAGATTGAGCCGAAAAAGATGGTTCGCTACAGAGATAACAAGATCGTCTCCCTCAAAGGGGAGAGGTACACTGAGGTACGTAGAAACAACTCAATACAGATCCAAAGTAAAGGAAAATGAGTTATAGGGTTATTGACTTATTACAGAAAAAAAATAGATTTTGGGTTCGATTGCCTAGTTAGTCACTTTATTATCATCCAAACTAATATTATAAATGCCAAAGTAACTCTGTCTGTCTGTCTTTTCTTCACGCCTAAACTACTGAACCGATTTCTGTGATATTTGGTACAGACATAGTTTGGAACTCGAGATAGGACAGGATAGTTTTTATACCAAAAATTTGTAGGAAGTCACTATTCCACGCGAACAGAGTCGCGGGCAAAGGCTGGTAATAAATAATTGCTGGCGAAAATTGAGACTGTTGATATATATTTTTTGAAAATAATAGGCTCAAGTTTCTTTGTATTTGATTTGTACACAGTCTTTTGCTATTTATTTATTTATAACTTCAACAAAACAGACTAACAGTACGAGACCAAGTCGTCTAAATGTTACCTTAAATTAAATTACAAACATTTATGAAAATCTAGAATATCTATTTTACATTAAATTATGTGCATCAATGAGATTTATATTTTGCAATTATCACAGTTATACAAATTTACCATGTTATGCTAAATCTCATAATAAAATTTAGATAGAAAAAATAAAATTATTAGCACTTGTCTATGTTTCGGGTCGTGTATTTTAGAGATTATATTTTGTAAGCACAGTGACTAATATATAATATCTAGCGAATAAAGGCTGGCGATCAGACTTCATGTTTATATTATACATCTTATACGCTTTTAACTGGTACATATTTTTGACTTTAACTTTATTAAGAAATGATTTCAATGAAGATTTCCATTGACAAGTGATAATAATTTATTTATAAAAGCAGTTAATTGAACTAAATTAAATTAATATTAAAGATTTAAGCCTACGTCTAACTAACCTAAAACAATTATGGATATAAATCATCTTTTAAAAAAACTTTCAAAAGGTACCCAAATCTGGAGCCGACGAAGAAAACTTGAAGAAGCCCAAAAAACATCATTGCCCTTAACCATTAAGAGCATGTCAGTACGGTGGACAGGCGGCACTCGCGCTCCCCCCACTTACGTCATACCCCCTCCCCAACGCACGCTCGACACACCCCCTTTACGTAATAATCCCCCTAAAAATCGTAATCTCGACATTTGTAATCTTAAATGTAGTCTTGAACGCACTTACGATGTGTTTTATAATCGTACGTAGAAAATTTATATTTAAGCTAAAATTAAAATCATATTCGATTCTTAGTAGTAAAAATGCAAGCGTAACGCGTAAATGTGTCAAAATTTACTTTAAGCGCGTAAACGTAATCGTTAGTGTATTTAATAAATCGTACATTTTCGTTTATAATCGTAAATGTATACTTGGGAAGGTTAATCGTAATTTCGTTCGCGTACTTTACGATTATTTGATTAATCGTTTGTACGCGAAACGTTTTGCGTACGCGTACGATTACGCGTTAAGTATGTCGTGTGTTTTATTGATATGTTTAATCAATAATTGTGATTTTGAATTAATTCTACGTAATAATCACAAAAGTCGCGTTTTAAGTAGCAACGAGCGTGCGTCTATCTGCGTAGATTTTAATAGTATAGTCATAAAAGTGCGTGATTTTAATAAACTGTTCATTTCTCCGCTTAGATCCAGTACTGATTTTATAAAATTATTATTTAATTTTAATTATATTACGTCACAATTTAAATTTATAGACTGTAATTTTATTATTAATTTAGTTTCTCTCGTATTTATTTTTAGTTTTAGACTATTTATGCAGCTTTGCAGTATTAGTAAGACTATGGCATCGATAAGCTCGTGTTGGATTGTCAATAAGGTTTGTGAAACAGGTAAAGATGCCATAGAGACACACGGAGCCCTAAAATGTAGCTTCGCAACCAACCAAAGATTTAATGGCACAGTCGCAAAGCGGCATTTTAGCGGTCCGTTCGGCCATTTTAGATTTCCAATAGTTTTAAGTATTAAGATTAGTTTACCTGTGATTTTGTATTGTTATTATAATTTTATTATAATTATTATAAATGTGATTCCTATTCTAGGTATAAAGTTTTTACGTACATCTGTGATTGAAACGCCATTTTTATTTAATTATTATTACCCTTTAAGCGGTTTTTATAGTTGTTTTAAATTTGACAGTTCTAACTGTCAGTTTTCGTATCGAAATGTGCGAAGTGAAATATTGTGATGATATTTTAATTTAGTTTAATCTGTTTCAATGGTAATGATTTGTTGCTTTTTTTTTGTTTTCGTTATAGTTTATCGGTTGTACCGTGTAGCGTCTCGATCTCAAAATATTGACGAGTTATTCTTACATATGTGACATGTCTGGCTCGGTGACAGATGAAGTGTCAAACTTATGACGTTTGTCAATAGTTTCTCTTTTCAAAATTGGCAGGTGCTAGCTATTAGAGATCACATTTATTTGAAAATAAACGCAGTTTTTAGTATCACTTATTTCGAAATTCTTAATAAATAATATTATACTATCTAGTAAGAAATTCGAACGGAATATTTTATTCGATATTTAAATAAAATACAGATTCTCACCAAAAATTTTAAAAAGCAATTTTACCCAGATTATGTCCGAATGCGGGTAATAACTACTAATTTGTGACGTCACAACAAATCATTACCATTAGCCAGAAAATTAATTAATTTTTAAATAAGTTTTGACATAGACTGATTTGTTTAATTATTATGCATTTCTCATTGAATGAGACACTTTATAGATTTATATTTATATGTCTAGATAACTTATAGAGATTGTCAAGACAAAAATCTCACATAAGCCTATAAGTGCCCACTGCTGAGCGAAGGCCTCTCACACGGAGAAGGTTTGAGCATTAATTACCACGCTTGCTCAATGCGGATTGGCAACTTCAAACATATAATCCAAACTATAAACTAATGTTATAAATGTGAAAGTAACTCTGTCTGTCTTTTCTTCACGCCTAAACGACTGAACGGATTTGTGTGAAATTTGGTACAGACATAGTTTGGAACTCGAGTAAGGATATAGGATAGTTTTTAAACCAAAAATCTACAGAAGTCAATATTTCATGCAGGCGAAGTCGCAGGTAAAAGCAAGTTGAAATTATAAGTCTATGTTTCCTCCTCACTATGTTTACCTTCACCGTATGTCAGTGGTTTCTAAATAATCATAGAAAGTACATTTAACTGAAAAAGTCTTTTTGCTATTTTACGATGTTTATCTAGACATATAAATATAATCTATATATGCCATTATTATTATTATTTATTTCGTATACAGCTAGGCTGTGTCATGTCATCTCTTTTTCGAAATATTATTTCGTTTTCAAAAATATTTAAAAAACGTTATTTTTGAGATTATTTTCATATTTTCGGTTTGACTAATGTTCCTGTGCACGAGTGGTCTTGATGGCGATTATCGAGTGATAGATTTGATATCCGAGTTGGATTACTGGACAATGTCATTGAGAATTTCAAATTTTGAAAATACCGGTACATTTTCAAAATTTGAAATTCTCAATGACATTGTAAGCCGAAGGTTTTAAAATAATCTCAAAATAATAGATAGGCATTTTCATTTGTGCATTGAATTTAAAGTTTAATAGTATTGGGGTGTATATTAATAATACTATGGAATATTCTTGAATTTTCCAAGTGATCTTAAGTACCTACATCTACTGGGGAAAGGATAATCTGGTACGTTTACCCAGGTTGACAAGAAAATACGGTAGTTTCCAACTAGTGAAATTCAATAACTTTATAGAAATTAATGCCTTCTTTATACCAATAATAAAATCAATGCTTTGTTTTGCACAAACATAGAAGCTACATTTGTTTATAGTTCTGATGACTTTTTTCCAATAATAAGTAAGTTTTTAAGTGTGGGAGAGCCATGCTTCGGCACGAATGGGTAGGCTCGACCGGAATGATACCACGGCCTCACTGAAAACCGGCGTGAAGTAACCATAGCGTTGCGGAGGCCCAATCCTACCCCTCCCCCAATCCCTCTTCAATCCCTAGATGTCCAAATGCCTAATCTCTAAAAGGTCGGCAACGCACTCGTTACTCCTCCGTTGCGGGTGTTCATGGGCGGCGCTGATTGCTTACCATCAGGTATCTGTATGGTCGTTTGCCGACCTGTTACATAAAATAAAAAAAATAATAAATTAATACATCTAATATACATACTACATGTGTGTAAAGTTTTGTTAGAAATTATGTTGGTACGTTGTAAAACTTAAAATGTACTTTTTTGACCAAGTAGAATTTAATTTAGTCAATTAGACTCTAATTGGGTAGTTTCCTAGGTCAAAAATAAATTAATTCAACATTTCAATACCATAAAATATTGAAAAATAACTATACTTTTATTCATCGATCGATCGATACACTAAGTTTTAGCTGATTATTAAGAAATAAGTAAGCTATTTGACACAAAAATACTATGACGTCATACCTCAGTTTTTCATAAAAAATTTCATAGAAAAGTATCGTTTTTGACATTTGGATAAAAGTATTGAATTTGACTAGTTGGAAACTACCGTATTGACTAAAAACACCCCCTGTCCTTCTGCTTAAGACCCCTGCCTACCCCAGCAGCAGAATAAAAGCCATAACGTCATATCCTACTTATTTCAATCTATGTATTACTAATATTCACCTCCATTATAAAAATACCAAGTCGCCAAAATTTGGTGCTAGTATCAAATTTAATAAAAATGAAATTGCCAAAACTCTAGATAATTATAAAAAAAAAATTAACTCAATATTTCAAATTCCAATGAGATTGACATGTTATTGAATTAAAAAGAAACGCTTCGCTCTTTTTATTTTAGAATGACGATATTAATTTCTGTTTTGGGACCAGTTTAATGAATTTATGATAAACAACAATTTTAAAAAAAATTACCTATACTTTATATTAGGTAGACTTTAAAATAACGGAATAAAATTCTAATTTTAAAATTCAACCATTTTTTTAAATATAGGAGCAGATTTTTCAATGGTTAGATAAAAGTTACCTGGGGAATAATTGGACAGCAACAATTTTATTCCTAAGATAACATCTATCTGACTATTGAAAAATCAGACCTAAATGAATTAATCATATTTTTTTTTATTTTATTGGTCCTAAAATAAAAATTAATTGAAAAGAATCAATTTTAGAATCTCTATTATTTTTAAAACGTAAACGTTTTTTTTTTTCTTTTATTTATATTAAGCATATGTATTTGACAGTATTATTTTTAAATGAATTAATAAATTCAATTTATTTATTTATTTATTTACAACTGAATGGGAAAAAAACTAGAGCAAAAAAACACTTTTTTCAAATTTTGCAGATCCTTTATCATTCATATGATATATTATTTTGAAAAATATATTTGTATAAATTACAACAGTATATGTATTCTCGCTTCAATTGTCAAGTGTTTGTAAGCGCGACTGCTGAGCAAACTTTACGGGCTTTAAATACTAATTTCAGAAATTAGTTTATTTTGGACATTCTTAGTAACAGCGTTTAGGTATGTGCCCAGAAGTGATGAATAGAATTCATTACATAATTGCAAAAATAAAGGGGTTATGTTAAACAAACGGTACAAAAATAGCGAACAATTAAAAAAACAAGTATTCTTTCTTGAGAAAAGTAATAATAATATTTACAATTTTATAAAAAAAATATTCAAATAATATATTTTATGAATGATTTTACCTGTTTCTGTATCTGCGAGACGCCAAAATTATGTTATATTTTTTTTAATTACAAAATTGTGTATGTTTGACAATAAAGGTACGGCGTTAGCAAATACAGCTGCCAAACGTCAATCTCCGGTTCAATGCCCGGGTCTGACAAAGTATTTGTGTTTTTCATTTTAGAATTTCTCAATCAAAAACAGTCTGGATTTGCTACACAAAGTAACCATGTAACTAAAATTTAAACTAACTTAGTTTTTTGTTAGTTAAATAGAAAAAATAATTTATTCGTGTTTACGGACTGTTCGGAGTGGCTCGACTTGTTTCAAGCCACGTCGAGGACTCATAATTCGGGTTGGCAAACGCAACTGAAAATGTCAAGTTTATACTTTTTATTATTATACAAACATACACAATTTTGTAAATAAAACCAAAATCCAATATGGTGGCAATCACAGATGCGTATAGACTCTATATCCTAAAAAAAAACAACCACGCATTTATTTTCTACGATTTTTTTATGAAAATTTTGAATTATGTAATCTTAAGTATAATTGTGTATAGTTTCTATCAATTATTTGTATAAATGATATCGGTTTTAATTAATTAATAATTATAATAAAATGATATGGTGATTATATACACTCATCCCTATTAGGGGGAACTCAAAAACTGGTCAAAATTCTCTGCCTAGCCCTAAGGCGCCCGACCAGAACCAGGCCCGAGCGTACGGCGCGTAGCGTTCCGCGCGCGCCTCAAAGAGCCAATAGACCACCACAGACGGCGCCCTATAGGGCTTAATGTTCAGCCGGGGTTGCGGGGTAAGCGCAATGAGGTACCGCGACCTCGGCACAGAGCAGGAGATGGAACAGGAGGGTTTTTAGTCAGTAACAGTCTGACACTCCCTCCCGCCCGGCCCTGGGCGGGAGAAGTCATTTGATGATTTTCCCCTGACAAAAAAAAGCCCTAAGGCGTAATTGAATTTACTAGCTTCGAGCCCGCGACAAATATCTGGTCAGAAAATAAAATATTTTTTTTAATCCTTCTAATATTATAAACGCGACGATTTCTAACTTCTATAAGGATGTTTGTTACTCTTTTACGTAAAAACCTCTGAACAGATCTGAATGAAATTTGGCACAGAGATAGATTATATTGTGGAATAACACATAGACTACTTTTAACACAAGTACCGCGAACAAAGCCGCTGGAAAAAAAACGATAATGGCAATATAGTCCGACCTACATTACAACAAGAGTGATTTTTTGACGTAGATAAATCATCAAATGACTTCTCCCGCCTTAGGTAAAGCTAGATAAAGGAGTGAGTCAGACTCTTACCCCCTTATTACAAAACAAGGTTTATCTTAAGTCCAGGTTTAAACCATTGAGTCGGGTTTTGAATTTTGAATCTTATTGGCATCTACCTTCAATTCGAAATACGAAAACTGGCTCAATGGTTTAGTCCTAGACTAAAATAAAACCTTATTTTGTAATAAGGCCGTTACTGACTAAAAATCATCCCATTCCTACTCTGAACCAGTCCACGGGAAACGTGAGTGTCATTACATTGCCAGGATTACATACATTATAATATAATATAATTAAAACCCGTATTATTTATATACAAATCACGCTCTCATTCTCATATCTAAGTCCAGTGTGAAACAATTGTACTGAAAATATATCGTAAATATCCCTAAATGTGTGTTTTATTTATCAAAACATCCCATGTAAGTGGGGGAGAGCCATGCCTCGGCACGAATGGGTCGGCTCGATCGGAGTGATACCACGGCCTCACAGAATACCGGCGTGAAACAACCCACAGCGTTGTGTTTCGCCGTGTGAGTGAGGTTACCGGAGGCCCAATCCCTCCCCTTCCCCTATCCCTTCCCAATCCTTATATCCGCAACCCCTATCCTCAAAAGGCCGGCAACGCACTCATAACTCCTTTGGTGTTGCGGGTGTCCATGGGCGGCGCCGGTTGCTTACCATCAGGTAATCCGTCTGCTCGTCGACTTATACCATAAAAAAATATAGTGTAGATGTCCAGTCAACAAGGATGTAGCGAGGTTGACTGTCCAGGCGACACACGTACTTAGGTATCGTCATGAGCTAATGTTCACATGTAAACAGCAGCTCATGTAGTGTAGAGAGATTGACTTAGGAAAATAAATAAAAAAAAGTCTACTTAAAATTATTTATTATCATTATTTTATATAATACATAATTGTTAAACTTGATTGGTAACTATTTTAAATTATTTAATAATAAATATAATACACAAAAACGTTTCTAGATGTATGCTTGACTATACTCGCAGTCATTTAGATCATTAAAATTAATACACCACCGACATTATGGTGAAGGAAAACATCGTAAGGAAACCTGGACTTATAATTTCTAATCTTCAATCCATCTTGAGCAAGCGCAGTGATTAATGCTCAAACCTTCTCCGTGTGAAGAGAGGCCTTTGCTCAGAACTAGGCACTTATAGGCTGATGATAACGTTACAATACTATTATTCGAGTTATTTCTAATACCAATATCATCATTTACCTTTATAACTAAGTCAAAACGCTCAATTTATTGAAGTTATATAGGAATAAAATTGTTGCTGTCACTGTCTCATACAAACATTCTGACGCGACAGCATCATAATTATTCCCCAGGTAATTTTTATCTAACCATTAATAAATCAGCCCTTAGTCATATGAATGACCTTAGAAAACTAGGTCTACTAGTTTCAAATCGCCTTTGGAAGAAAGCACGCGTTAGCCGGCACAGGTCGCGTTGGGCACGCAAGCTCGAGTAGTGGGTTGGCTGGGCGACATCGCCGCGACGCGCATTCTGCTCTTGAATAAGAGTCCCGTTGTGACTTGAAACTAGTCGAGCTTTTCTCATTTAATTCACGTGTTTAAGTCGATATCTTCTATATATATAAAAATGGATCGCAAAATGTGTTGGTAAGCGCATAACTCAACAACGCCTGGACCAATTTTGCTGATTCTTTTTTTGTTGTGTTTGTTATTGTCAGGAGAAGGTTCTTATCAAAGAAAATATTAGAAAAGTAGAGGGGAAAATAAAGAAAAAGTGACACTTTGATAGCGAGATAGTTGGACCCGTGCGAAGCGGGGGCCGGCCGCTAGATTTTGTCTCACGATAGATACTATTAATAATAATAATACGACTAAACGCCATTGCTATCAACGGCGTCTAGAATCAAAATAAAAGCGAGTAAAGTCAAGCAAACATACAAAAAATAATTTAGTAACCTGATTTCACTATCTCAGCTCAAACTTTCAGATCTAATGGAAAGACACTTTGTTCTTTATACACATATCGATGTTTTCTGAAAAAAAAAACACAAAAACCCATTAATTCTTATAAAATCGAAAATATGTTTAATCTGAAGAGATGACATTAATAGGACAAACCTCTTTATTTTGGAGTCGGGGAAAAAAATGTTGTGGTAGGACAGACAAAATGTAAAAAAAAAATCATTCCACACACGCAAACATCCATTACCAATGCCTGTAGTAGCTTTACTAAGAGCCTTAGCTTCACTAAGAGGACTGACCGACAGACTGACACTATAACTTCAAAATTTTGTTTGACGTTCAAAAGTGCCTTTAAAGGTCTAATTGGAATAAATGATTTTTGACTTTTGACTGTATCTTTTGTTTCATTACCTGAATCATTGGCATTTTCTATAATGCAATGTGTGATATAGTTTTATTTTTTATGGGCCGACGTTTAGCCGCTATCACGCCTGGTGATAAGCGATGATGCGACCTACGATAGAGTACGCCTACACATAAGCAACCTATTCACTCGGGCCTTGAAGACATCCAGGTTATATTCTTCGGGGGAACACAGACTCCGGTAAAGGATTCCACTCCTTAGAGATACTAGTGAGAAGTACTCTTTTTATGGTGTTAAAACATTATTGGCAACAAAAATAATTGTTTCATATGGGAATCGAACCCCCTATTTGATGCGCAACAGCGTGTTATCGAGGAATTGCGCCAAATACGTTGATATAATGATTGGGAGTATTAAAAACTTTTTGCGCAAAATTAGCGCAAACACTTAAACAATTTGCGCAACCTATTGGGCTGAATGACAAATGAAGACATGCTATAAGTAAAAAAGCGATGAAGAATGAATGAATGGATGTTAATAATTAGCATGCTACATACAACAACATCCAACATCCACGTTGTGCGAAGAATATATTTCAGGAGACTTAGCTGAAAAAGTACTCTTAAAAATATTATGTAAGTACTCAAATATTAACCTACTAATTTTGTGAAATACACGCTATGACATTGTATATAAGGTTCAAAATGTAATAACTACTAACTTTTAAATACGCTACCATTTCTAATCACCAAACAAAGTAAATTAAACTGTATACCAAACGAACTAAGTCTTTTATTCCAACGAAATGAATAACAAACTGAAAAATTTACCTCTATACAAGGATACTATTTTAAAATGAACTGTAAAACAGAAGACTTAACGTTCATATTCCAACGATCTTCATGCACATTCAAATTATGAAGACTTTTTAGAACATATTGACTTTTCTTTTTCTTCAACTCGCTTATGGATGCGGATAACATTCGTTGATTCTAACACAGAAAAACCAGTAAATATACCACATATTATACAAATATAAACTTTAATATCTTAGGCATAAGATTCATTATTGATAAACATAATACTTTAGCTTTTTTAACTTTTCTAGAAAAGTAAACCTTAATAATTTGGCTGAAAATCTATATTTCCATGCATCATGCTGAATGTATTTTGCTATATTGCGATAGCATCACCCCTGACACGTAGGATTAATAAAAGTACTGTTTGAAAATGCAATAGATAACTGGGAGAGCTAGCTAAGCAATGGGTCGACTCGACCGGATTGATACCACGGCCCCACAGAAAACCGGCGTGAAACAACCACAGCGCTATTTCGCCGTGTGAGGTTACCATCAAGTCACCTGTCTGCTAGTATTCCAAGTAAGAAATCGAAGGTTCATATTTATCAGAGAGTGCTCTTGCCGATCTCTGTCTGATATGGAGTCCCTTAGTCGGCGACACCCATTTAGGAAGGGTCATTGCATACCCTGTTCATTTAAATTTCTTGTGGACTTACATCAATAACCAAATTTAAAAAAAAATATCTTTCCTTGATGACATGTCGTGAGTGCCCAGTATCACGTAAGATTTTTCAGAATATGGCTTTCTTACGTAAACTCTTTTACTATTTTCGTAAAAAGAAAAAAAAAACACCGCTTCCCGCTTTTATTTAGGACTTTTTTGTTTTTATATCAGAAATAACCAGAGGAGTTACGAGTGCTTGCTTGCTTATCTAAGTCAAACACGGAGAAAAGTTTTTATAGAAAAAAAAGGTATATTACTCTTACTATAGTTTCCGGCACGAACCTTGGTCTTAATATTTCGCGTGTTAGAGATATTTTCGCGTATTATATATTTTCTCATTATTCTATATTTAACTATCGGTTCAGTATAGAACGGGTGCAATGCTTATACTAAATTCCTCCACTATTTAATGGATGTTATCATACATATCATTATAAACCTTCCTCTTCAACCACTCTATCTATGAAAAAACCGCATCAAAATCCGTTGCGTAGTTTTAAAGATTTAAGCATACATAGGGATATAGGGACAGAGAAAGCGACTTTGTTTTATACTAAACAGTGAGCGATCACACACGAAAAATCAAGCCAAGTTTCTCGCCGGTCACTACACGGACATAACTAAAAAATCTACAATAATACGACTACATAAAAATTACCAATTTATTTACATACATATATGTATAGTATAACACATTCAATAAATAACTACAAACGATCAATTAACTACTACACGTTAAAAACTAAAAGAAATAATACTTTTTTGTTGTAAAGGAAGAAGTCAAGTATTTGAGGTCTTCGCATTGATTTAACAGAAAAAAAGGTAGGAGGTTTACTTAGATTACCAACAGATGGCGTTATTGAGAACTACGTAAGTTTAATATAGTTTTTATTCGTTGAATTGATCACATCAATGATTATAATATAATCAAGAGACAGTGATGATTATAAATATAACCGTTCCTTCTCATTTTGAATTATATAAAAACCTATTAGTATATCAGAGACACATCTATCTCTGTAGAGAAACTCATCAAAATCGGTTAAAGCAATTTAGGAGGAAGATTAGCTCAATAACTCGATCAACCTTTATTCGCATTTCTTTTAAGGATACCAAACCATGAAACCCCAAAATAAAAAAATCTCTCTCAAGAGAATAGCATAACACTCAACTAAGGCCATCTATCGTCGGTTTGAAGTAAAATAATACTTTATGACACAAATAAAAAATGATTATTTGGTATTTTGATAATAATTAAAAAAAAAACAATTTTCAAGAAGAGCATTAATTTTTCGACTTGACTTCTTGAATTAAATATTTCTTAAATTCAATCATAACACTGGTTTTCACCTAGAGATTTTTTTACTGATTTTAATATAAGCACTGAGTGTTTTTTTTTATAATTTAATGGAACCACAGCCAATTTAAAATATTAGTAGGTTAGTTAATTTTGATGAAACAGCCAATCAGAGGCGATAATGAATGAAAATTAATTTTAGGGTTATTTTTAAGCTTGTTATTAATACTGCCAATTATTTAGCGTAAGCTAAAAATACCAATTCACGAGACATCTATTTATTTTTAAGACACTGTGGATGTGTTTTTTCAATAAGTGCCCACTGCTGAGCAAAAGCCTCTTCTTACACGGAGAAAGCTAGAGCATTAATCACTATCCTTTAGAATAAGTGATTTCAAACTTATAATTAGAAATTATAAGACTAGGTTTCCTCACGATGTTTTCCTTCACCGTATGTCAGTGGCGTCTAAATAAACTTAGAAATTACATATACCACGAAAAAAATTAATTTAATACTGTTCTTAAAAATACCATATTAACAATTAAGTACATAACGTCGAATAATCGCCTTATAAAGAAAAAAAAACACATCCACAACATCAAAACCACAACAACAACGACAGCTAAACAAAAAAAAATTAATGCTCGTCACAAAAAAAAATTACGCTCGTCACAAAAAAATTTACGCTCGTCACGAAACATATTAATGCTTCAAATTACCGATGATGGCGTTGACGACGTCCGTCGATGAAGCTGTTCCTCCTAGGTCTGGAGTCATGATGCGGTCTTCGTTGATGGTCTTAGCGACGGCTGCTTTGATCAGATCTGCGTGGAAATGATGTCCAAGATGCTCGAGCATGTCCACTGAAGCGTTGATCATGGCTATCGGGTTGGCAATGTTCTTGCCGGCTATGGCCGTACCTGGAATTGGAAAAAACGATTATGGTCTATCGATTTAGGTAATTAATTGAATGTCAACATGTCATCTTTACATACATTTTTATCTAAAAATTGTATCCTAATATTATAAAGCTGAAAAGTTTGTTTGAAAGCGCTAATCTCAGGAAATACTGGTTCGAAATGAAAAATTATTTTTGTGGACTAGGCTAGGTAGTAGGCTATAAAACATCACGCAACGATCTGTAGAAGCCGAGCACCGAGTAAAACCGCGCGAGAGTAGCTAGTAAAAATATATGATAATTAAGTAATATAGTATAGACAATACCTTTATTGAAATTTCAAAAACAAAACTTATTTATGAATTAGGTATGATAAACAGAAATGCGACATACAAAGGACACCACTACAGAATAAACTTGTGGTTCTCGCACATTATATTATTTTACACATTGTCTGAACTTGAAATGAGACTGACCTCTGAGTTTGTGTCGGCATTTCTTCTCAGAGTAGTCAGATAGGAAATGCCGGCTTCATCTAGTTTTGTTACATAAAATTTTGACGTGTAAAAGTGCTGTTTTATGGTCTATTTACAAAAATAAATTAATTGTTCCGTTTCACTGATAGTTTTTAAACCAATAATCTGCAGAAAGCCACTATTCCACGCAAAGAAGTCGCTGGCAAAAGTTAGTATTACATAATATTAAATTATAAAACTAGTGCACATAAATGTCGGCTTTAAGAGATTAAAAAAAATAATACTGTAGATTCATGTACTGCAATGTGAGTAAATTTGATTTTCTTATGACAAAAGTTAAGCTGTAAAAAAATATTTTACAACACGCTATTTTAACAAAATAGCGTGTTGGCCAACCGGAGGCCCAATCCTTCCCCGCCCCCAATCCCTCCTCAATCCCTAAATCTCCAAATCCCTAATCCCTAAAAGGTCGGCAACGCACTCGTAACTCCTCCGTTGCGGGTGTCCATGGGCGGCGCTGATTGCTTACCATCAGGTAATCCCGTCTGCTCGTTTGCCGACCAATTACATAAAAAAAAATGCCTATTCCTTCTTAATGGCTCGGTTTATTTTTTTATAGATCAATCGGTGTTAAATTTTACTACAAATTGGGTACCACTCATGTAAATCAGTCAATATTTTATAAAGAACATGTTATATTATTGGGATCTCCATATATAAAAAGCGGACGAACACAGCCCGCGCCAGTCGTGCGTTAGCATGCTCGAGGTTATTTAGGGTACTACACGCCTTAAAGCCTCGATATAATTTACATACCGGTGTTCCTGGTGCCTGGTTCGAAGACAGCATAGTGGTCGCCGTAGTTCCTGCCCGAATGAAGACCAGCTCCGCCAAGGATGCCGCAAACAACGTTTGATACGATGGACCCGTACAGATTTGTCATCAACATGACATCAAATTGGTGCGGTCTGAAATATTTTTCAACAAATCAAAAAAATTGATTTCATTAAGTGCTGATTTTTCAATAGTCAGTTTAATGTTATCTGAGGAATAAAATTGTTGCTGTCTCTGTCTAATACAAATATTCTGACACGACAGCATTATAATTATTCCCCAGGTAACTTTTATGTAACCATTGAAAAATCATCCCTAAGACCCTTACAGGCAGTTTTGAACGTAGAACAAAGCTTAATTATAAAAGCTGACAGTCTGTCGGTCAGTCCTCTTATGCCCGGTTTCCGAAAGCCCGAGCAATGTTAAAATAATCTAACTAGGTGAATCTCTTGTCAAGTCATGTGATTCATCATCATCATCATCATATCAGCCACAGGACGTCCACTGCTGAACATAGGCCTCCCCCATTGACTTCCAGATAGGCCGGTTGGAAGCGACCTGCATCCAGCGGCTTCCTGCGACCTTAATCAGGTCGTCTGTCCACCTTGCGGGTGGACGTCCTACGCTGCGCTTGCCGGTACGTGGCCTCCACTCGAGAACCTTTCTGCCCCAGCGGCCGTCGGTTCTACGCGCTATGTGCCCTAGTCATCTGATTGGTTGTTGATAATTCAGTCAACCAATCAGATGACTTGACAAGAGATTAAATTGATTTTAACATTGATCGGCCTATCGGAAACCGGGTGTAAGTGTAGAGATACAACCTATGCGATGAAAACTAGTGATTTTTTTTGTGAGGGGAAATCATCAAATTACTTCTCCCGCCCAGGGTTGGGCGGGAGCTAGTGTCAGGTTTTTACTGACTTAAAAACTCCCCCGTTCCTTCTCCTGCTCTGAGCCGAGGCCGCGCTGCCTCATTTCACGGCGTGAAAAGTAGAGGTTACAGAGTACATTAGTTAATACCCCCTGTTTTAAAAGGTGCCCCTTCTCGCGCTGAATGGCGAGAGAATGTCAGACTCTTACTGACCAAAAACAACTCCTAACAAGTCCTAATTTATATAATAAGTCTAACTATACTTCTTTATCATCAAAATAGCATATGTTTGGGAGAGCCATTCTTTGGCACGAATTAGTCGGCTCGACCGGAGTCATACCACGGCCTCACAGAAAACCGGCGTGAAACAACCACAGCGTAGTGTTTCGCCGTGTGAGTGAGGTTACTGGTAGCCCAATCCCTCACCTCTCCTATCCTTTGCCAATCTCAATATCAATATCCGAAACCCTCATTCCCAAAAGGACGGCAACGAAATCGTAACTCCTTTGGTGGTGCGGGAGTCAAAGGGGGACGCTAATCACTTACCATCAGGTAATCCGTCTGCTCGTTTGCCTCTGATCCATAAAAAGAGTTTACTCACTTGGACACAAGCTGCATGCAGCAGTTATCGATGATCATATCGTTGTGTTCAATGTCCGGGTACTCCTTGGCGAGGCGACGGGACGTTTCGAGGAAAAGACCGTCTGAGAGCTTCATTATGTTGGCTTTGTGGACGGTTGTCACCTGTAAATAGAGACACATTATTTAGTTACTGGTTTCCGTATATGTAGCTGGAAAGTTAAGGCGCCTGCTTGTCATGCATGAGGGTTTTTTTTATGAGGGGAAAATCATCAAATGAGTTCTCCCGCCCAAGGTCGGGCGAGGGCGTGTCAGACTCTCACTGACTAATAAACCCCCCCGTTCCTTCTCCTGCTCTGGGCCGAGGTCGCGGTGCCTCATTGCGCTTACCCCATTGCGGTCTGAAACTTGGCAAGTACCAATGTGACTTTTACCAAGTTATGACTATTTAGACGCCACTGATATATGGTGAAGGAAAACTGGAGTTATATCTGATAATAAGTTTGAAATAGCCAATCCACATTGAGTAAGCGTGCTAATGAATGTATAAACCTTCTCCGCGTGAGAAGAGGCCTTTGATCGACAATGGGGATATGGTATTATAATTTTGTTTGGTGAGGTGAAAATCATTAAATGACTACTCCGGGGCGGGAGGGAATGTTAAACTCTTACTGACTAAAAAACCTCCCTTTCTTCTCCTGCTCTGGGCCGAGGTCGCGTTGCCTCATTGCGCTTACCCCGCAATCCCGGCTGAACATCAGCCCTATAGGGCCTTGTCTGTGGTGGTCTATTGACTCTTTGAGGCGCGCGCCGTGTGAATAATGAAAAAAAACTTTCTAGCTAACCTTCTTCCTGTTGTTCCTCTTGGCAAACTCAAATGCGAACCTCGCCACCCTCTCGGAGTTGCTCGCAGTGACTACCTTCATGGATTCGATGACCCCTCGCACTGATTCGTGCTCCAACATGGCGTATTCACCTTCTGTGTTCTGTCTGTGAAGTTGAAAGAATATTTATTAGCATTCGTTGGAGATTGGGGTTTGTATTATCTTATTTATAAAAATGGATCGCAAAATGTGTTGGTAAGCGCATAACTCGACAACGCCTGGACCAATTTTGCTAATTCTTTTTTTGTTGTTTTTGTTATTGTCAGGAGAAGGTTCTTATCAAAGAAAATATTTAAAAAGTAGAAGGGAAGATTAGGAAAAAGTGACCCTCTGATAGCGAGATGGACCCGTGCGAAGCGGGGGCGGGCCGCTAGTATATAATAATAATTGGCTTAATGATGGCTGTTCTCACATAAAACCAACTTGACTGCACGGTTGGTGCGGTGGCTGGGCTACTGGCTGCGTGTCGCGGGTTCGATTACCGCACTGAACAACTTTGTGTGATCCACAAATTGTTGTTCTGTGTCTGGGTGTCATGTACAGTCGGGGGTCAAAAATGCAATTGCACTCTACCAATTTTAAAATGACCAAAATATCTTTGTAGTAAAAGTAAAAGATTTAGATCTCCAAACCCCTAAACCCTAAAAGTTTGGCAATGTACTCGTAGCTCCTTCGTTGCGGGTGTCCATGGGCGGCGATGATTGCTTACCATCAGGTATTCCGTCTGCTCGTTTGCCGACCTACTATATAAAAAAAACCAACATACCTGATAATATGTAAATCAATGTCCTTATGCCTGGTGGTGATACCGGGGAAGGACTTGCAGTGCAGCACATAGGCGTAGAGGTCCAAAGAGTTGCGGAGGGCAATGTTACGGGAGGTCACGTAGGCAGCCTCACTCTTGGTCTCAATGTTACCCTGAAAAAGAAAACAATTTTTTTTTAGTTAGGGATGGCTTGTAACAGGTGAAACACGATATCTGTTATCACTGTTACTGTTACACAAAAATAACAGATCTAAATACCTGTTATTAAATAGCAGCCTGTTATTTTTGAACAATTTCAACTGAATATCCTCTTTCTTAATTTCTATTTTTTAAAGTTGGAAATCCGCTGGGCTATGTCGGAAACCTTTGTTCGTTTGCGGACATCCTCGTTTTTTATACGGTCTCGCAAAGAAACTCCGAGCATAGCGCTGGATGCAGGTCGCTTCCAACCGGCCTATCTGGAAGTCAATGGGGGAGGCCTATGTTCAGCAGTGGACGTCCTGTGGCTGATATGATATGATGATGATGATGATGATGATGAAAGTTGGAAATCTAATAAACAGGAACTAACAATTCCGTATGTCGAAATAAATAATAGGTGTGTGTCTCTTTTTAGCAAAAGTCGTTCTTTAATGAGGAAAAGAGAAAATGAATATTACCGTGTATGTAACGAAGTAGTCTGTATGTGTGTGGGGACTGGTACAATGAATAAGGGTAATAACCCCAGTAACAGTGCCGGGCCTCGAGTCTGCTATTACAATAGTGTCAGAATAAGATCATTGATTTAAAAATTGATGATTTTGACAAGTTTTGGTAATCTACTAACACAATAGCGTCATTTTGACTATCCAAAGCCACTTCATTCAAATAATTCTTTAGAAAGGTAATCTCGTACATAATGACAAATGAATATTTTACATAATGCCAAAAAAAAAATAATAAAAAAATCAGTTCCTTTATTCAATGATTTACGTTTAGAATATTAATGTGCAGTTATTGTTTATAATTCGTTACAAGACATCTCATTCAATAATTCTATTACGACATCGCCGGACGCCAATGATCAGCCATTTTGGATTAACAGATTACGAACTTGTAGCAAAATGACAATGGAATCGTGTAGGAATGACAACACTTTAAAAAAAAATTGTAGTAGTACTTTGCCTGTTATTAAAATAACAGATAAAATAAGTTGGTAGGAACAATTGTTACTTGGTATTTGTAAATATCTAATTCGATAAATATGCCTCACTTCTATTTTTAGATCTGCCCAAAATGTTTGACGAGCATCTAGCTTCACTGGCGAACAGACTGACAGGCAGGCAGGACATTTATGGTTTAGTTGGAATAAATTATTTTGATTTTATCTTATATATATATAAACGTTGCCCCACATTAGGATTTTCTCCTGTGTCGTGGGTGCGGTTACAAACATACAATTTCACATGCACATGACACCCAGACCAAGAACAACAATTTGTGGCTCACACAAAGAGTTGTTCCGTGCGGGAATCGAACGCGCGGCTGCCAGTTGCCCAGCCACCGCACCAACCGCGCAGTCAGTGAGTCACTTTGACTTTATACTCCAGTTTTTTTTTATGTAAATTAAAAAGTGTAATATTGTTACAAAGAGGTAACATTTGTAATTTGCAAGTTTGTATGTAGGGGGTAAGGGATTGCCAAAACTCTTTCATTGATAGATAGCTTCAATGTTCCTGAATTCAATAAGGCTATCTACTAGATCTAAAAGAGCCGAGCAGCGAGTAAAACTGGGCGAGAGTAGCTAGTATGTAATAAGCCGGCAAACAAGCAGACGGATTACCTGATGGTAAGCAATCGCATGTTTCAAATCTATTGATAACTGCTCTCTTCTCCTAATTAAGTCCGCCTTTGTATTAATATACTAGCTTTTGCCCGCGGCTCCGCCCGCGTGGACTAATATTTTTCGTATCCCACGGGAACTGCATATTTTTCCGGGATAAAAAGCCTATGTGTTATTCCAGACTATTATCTACCCCTGTGCCAAATTTCAACCAAATCCATTCAGTAGTTTTTACGTGAAAGAGTAACAAACATCCATACATCCATACTTACAAACTTTCGCCTTTATAATATTAGTAGGATAAAGCGCTAAAAAATAAATCGCCACCCTTATTGGCGGCCCTAAGTTATAATTAGACTGCACGGTCAGTGCAGTGGCTGGGCAACTGGCTGTCGTGCAACGTGTCGCCGGTCCGATTCCCGCACGGAACAACTCTTTGTGTGATCCACAAATTGTTGTTCCGGGTCTGGTTGTGATGTGTATGTGAAATTGTATGTTTGTAAACGCACTCACGACATGTTTCTTAAAGATAATGATATTAAACTGTGACGGTGTGTAATATTATATTATGGTATATGTATACGTATATTTCAGTTGTGTATGTCCTCCTATTTATCCTTATTATATAATGTAAAGTAGAACAGTATAAAATAAGTAGCTATAGTTTTACTAACCCATGTGTTGTCCTTTCAGCTACTAACAACAAACTACCACAAAGTTAAAATTCGACGGGCCCATAATCTGCCGTCACTACTTGACACTGGCAGTATAGTCGACAACATTAAATTGGAGACTCGGTTGCCATAAAGAAGAAAAAAAAAACAGGAGAACATCCTAGTATGGGGCAACGTTATTTTAAAGAAAAACAAAAGTTATGAAGTACCTTAAGACATACTCCATTCCTCTTGATAGTGGTGATGGCATACTGTACATCCTCATCGTTGTCCACATTGGGGTCAATGTCCACAACTTCAAAATCTATTGGGGCTCCGATGTATCTGTAACAATTATATTTAATTTAAATAAACTTGTAAACGAATTAGGACTGTTTTTTATTACTTTTTTTATGTGATAGGACGGCAAACGAGCAGACGCATTACCTGATGGTAAGCAATCGGCGTCACCCATGGACACCCGCAACAAAGAAGGAGTTACGAGTGCGTTGCCGACCTTTTAAGGATTGGGATTTTGGGGATTTTGGGACTGGGAAGGGATTGGGGTAGGGGAAGGATTAGGTCTCCGGTAACCTCACTCACACGGCGAAACACAACGTTGTGGTTGTTTCACGCCGGTTTTCTGTGAGGCCGTGGTATCACTCCGGCCGAGCCGACCCATTCGTGGCGAAGCAAGGCTCTCCCACACTTAAAAAAGTACTTATTTAAATTGTAATTTATACTATATTAACTATATTAGATTAGACTGCACGGTTGGTGCGGTGGCTAGGCAACAGTATTCGAAAGGCCGATCAATGTTAAAATCAATTTAATATCTTGTTAAGTCATCTGATTGGTTGACTGAATTATCAACAACCAATCAGATGACTTGACAAGAGATTTAACAGGAGATTAGTTAATTTTAGCGTTGACAAGCCTTCCAGAAACCGGGTGTTAATATTTTTGGTTTTTTTTTTTGTTTATTCGCACTAATCTCCGGAACTACTGGTTCGAACTGAACAATTACTTTTGTGTTTGTTATTCCATTTACCGAGTAAGGCTATAGGCTATAAAACATCACGCTACTATCTGTAGGAGCCAAGCAGCGAGAGAAAGCACGTGAGAGTAGCTTAGTACTCTCATTTTTATGCCAAATAACTGCATTGTGAGAAGAATAATTTATTATTCTATTCTAGTCTGCACTTTACTAAGTGCAAGATAAAACTTACTTGTAATTCTCAATGCATTAGCATTATCAACCCAATTAGCGCTTTTGTGAAGACTAATTACTCATAATGTCATATAATTATATTAAAGATGAAATGTGATAGAAATCATTAATGTATAAAGCTAGTCATAATAACTTAGTATGTAAAATATGTCATAAAATGCATTTTAAGTCAATCAATAAATACAGTAATTTCCAGTTAATTTAATAGAAACAAACAATAAACAGAATTTCTGTAAAGATAATAATTAATAATAAAGTACTTAGGGGGCGTCCATAAATTACGTGAGTTGTTTTTTTAAATTTTCTGCACCTCCCTCCCCCGCTGGTAAGATGTGTCCGAATACAATTTAGGTGTCTTCAAGGCTAGAGTGAATAGGCTCTTTATAAACTAGTGCGCCTTACCATCAACGATTGCATCACTGCTTACCATCAGGTGGGATCGCAGTCAAGCACTAGTTTATTGCAAGTAAAAAAAAAAAATGTCGTGAGATTTTAATCAACACCCTCCCGATCCCCGAATCTCACGTGAGATTTTTCAAAATGCGAGTTTTTTACGTAAACGCCTTGGATTGTTATTGTGAAAAGAAAAAACAAATTTGCATCGTACTTTTATTAGTAAATGATCTTAATCGTACTACGATTAGGCTTAAGATTAAATCTGAAGATTGTACATGCTTAATGTACAATCTGGATTAAATAGACCATAAAAATAGTATTTTTTTTTGTTCCAATCAGAAAAAAAAACGCTTGATATTTGCCGAGTCATCTCTCCAACGTAAGATTAGATGAGATTTGACTCGACCCCCTCCCCCCATAAACACCTCACGTAATTTATGGACGTTATGCGTATTTAAATAATAAAAAATATATTTAGAAATATTTTAATGGTTTTATAAGGTGAAATATTTTTTTTTTTTGACCATGGGAACTACCCAATTTTGTATAACTTTTCAACATAGGATGTTAATTATATTTTTACGACATAAAATAAAATACCCACATATTTCTTAAAAATTCGCTAAAAACATTCTAAAATTAAGAATATTGTTAAATCAATGTATAAAAGTATGTTTCTATTTTAATAATTCATTGTATCGAATAAGTAAAATAATTAATTTCTGACCAAGAAAACAAACCAATTAAAGGTGTCATACAACTCTGGCCATGAAGAAAATATTAATGAAGAGGTTGGTATCAAATAACAAACTGGCAAAATGGCTGGAAGACAACTGTTCATACATAATCCTACAATTATTATAAACATGAGAGTTAGTATAGATAGATACTACATAAAGTTGAGTGAAGAACACAAATATTGGATTAATTATCTGCCACATAAATTAATTAACCATTTACAGAGCGGCCGACATATCTTGGCGAGTCAGAAGTTAGCAGTTGGTCTGCACAATGGATCTTTTATGAACAAAATTGTGTACTGCCCAGCTAATCGGCTAACTTCAGACTCGCCAAGATACCTTGGCGGTATTGTAAGTCTCTTTAACTGCCAACAGAAAACTATTAAAAGCCAATAATCACTACTGTAGGTTAACAATGACCTATGTAGCTGTTCACATGTTAATTAAACATTAAACAAAGGTTGGGCCACATGTATCATTTGTATTGCATAGTGTGCCCTGTAGCTAGACTACTGGTAATACACAGAGTAACAGACATTGTTTTTGTGGGTCTGGAAGTCATGTGAACATAAAATTGTATGTTTGTAAACACACCCACAATACCAGAGAAAAATGTGATAACATATATCATCAAACTCTATGTTATTAAAGAATTTAAAGGTTCTTCATGCTTAATTTCATCCAGTTATGATCAGTAGTTTTTAAGTGTAAATGTAACAAACAAATGCATAGCTCTTGTTTTCAAATCACAAACATTTTTAATTCATCAAACACTAACTGTCTCAAATTACTACAATAAAATTGAAAGGTTTAATTATATATAACACTCACAAAATATCATAATTCTCAGTCAGTCTCAATTTATCTGTTAATAATTGAAATAAATTGTGTGATAAAATCAAGAAACATAAACTACAATTTTTTTTTTAATTCAAAGCTTGTGTCGCAGTATTTGGAAGTTGCTATGTAGACCAGATAATTTTGAATATGGAACCAATTTGAATTCGTACAAATTATGTGGCACATGCTTTATCAGACACTTACATATAGGTGGCAAAATAGGAGCTTAATGGGATAGGAATTTTGTTGTTGGATAGTTAATAAGGAAAGCAGTCATAACAAAACAAAAATACCACAAGGAAAGCTTTCATACAAAAACAGAATTCTTTGCTTCAAAACCCATCTTGTATTATGTTACACAATTAAATCCCTACAAAGTAAGGTTATATTTCCATTGACAAGTGGAAAATTAGCGCTATTTACGTCTCATTTAATAGATAAAGCAAACGAATTGCGTGTTAATATGAATAAGGTAAACTACAGCTGTTTTCAAAGGCCAAGTATAAAGGTTGGAACAAAAAGGTTATGTCTTACTTGAAAATGTCTCTGACGTAGCCCATGCATTCTGGACCGATTCCTCCTCCTGGGAGCATGGTGACTGCGTGACGGCCTCCATAGTGAGCCTTCGGGACTAAGTGCTGCTTCCTGACCACAGGAGTTTTGTGTTGCACATCGAAATCTGAAAGGGTCGCTGGTGCCGCTGCAGAACTAAGGTTCACGACACCACGGAGCTCAGGCCGCACATTCAATTTACTCAGTAATCTCAGAGCCATCGCGAATTTTGCGAAAATATCTTGGCTCAAACTATTAAATAACCACAGGAAGAGGAAAACGGAAAATGTCAAAGAATTCTAATTTTCACCGTCAGATGGTGCTGTTCTGTCAAAGTTTCCTAAGGATGGCAGCATTGGGAATTGTTTGACAGTTAGTCTTACGCTTTCTGTTTATAAACATCTCGGATTTATTTGGAAAATAAATCAAAATACCATTTATTAAAGGCTTATATTTAATGATATGCTTTAAAAACATTTATTGATTAAATTATAATGAATATTTCATCTGATTTTACTGATTTACTTGAGATAAATAATTAAAGTGCGGTGACACAATTTTTTGCTATAGCAACATTACATGCATGACACTTTTTTCTAAACGACTTGAGTGTTGCTTTTCCTTTCTCGGTGGAGTTTGCAAGTACGAGCGGGTGGAGAACGGGCGTCCATTTTGCTTCGCCATATTGAATTTGGTCGGACATCTTTGGACGCCATGTTTAGTCGGACATATTTTATAAACATTTTCGCGTAAATTTCAAATATTTTCGAGCCTAAATATCGAACTTTTTTTCACTGAAAACTGTGGCACTAGTTGCGGTAAATATTACGTTGGAAAATTCCGTGCCAACGCATCTCTCCATTTTTGTCTCCTGGGGGCTGTCGGTGCTTTTGTTACTGGATAAATACAGGTAAATTATTTCTATCAAAAACATAGTACTTTTTGACGTATCGTAACAAGTGTTTTGTATTTTCTATGAAATTACGCATTTGGTCGATTAATTGAGGGTGACAGAATGAAGGTCATTTTATAAGGTATCGATGTATGTAGCGTTTGGCGTGGTCATTTTATAATTATCTAAAAAATCGTCTGGGTCGCGGGCCCGGCCGGTCGAGTTGCGCCGCCAGAAGTGGCAGTAGACTCGCACCTGCCCCGAGAGATAGTTGTTTGACTCCAATGCACCATAATGCGGCACATTAAAACGGAATAAAAAGCTTTTTCTTAGTGGGAGGTATCGAATTCTCGTTACAAGTTGTACGATATCGTGTGACGGTTCGATTGACACTATTTACACAAAAATCACATCTGTTTACGTATTCTTCGTTGCGTACTAAAAATAAAATATGGAAAACATATCCATTGTGCTCCAGAAAACGATAATGAACTGTTTTATTTACAACTATTTTGTTCGCGATGTTTTTCTAATCTCTATTGGTTGTTGTTTTCTTGTCATCTTATCATACAGGCAAAGGTACCTCTGCATTCTGCCTGATTAGATACTTGTTTTCATACAATTGAATTGAATTTACAATACAGTACTGTAAAAAGTAAACAATTAAAATATTTTTTCAAGTAATAAGTATTCATAAGCACATTATAGGGTATCCTTAATAGTTTTTGTTTTTGGTGATTAAATACTTTATCATTGTGTATAAAAAAAGTTAAACATACTGTTGTCATTACATGAAGTAAATATCAAAAAATATATGATTCACTTACCATATCTGAAATCATTTGGTCTAGGTTTTACAAGAGGTAATGAAACAAAATGACATAAGGAACAGTATTACCATATATATTTTCTAGGAAATTACCCTTGTTTTCAAATTAACATAGTGCATAATTGGCCAATGAGGTTTGTATTAAAATGTAATTAGCTACCCATCTGTTATTTTATTATATCTGTATCATTTAATAATAAATAAATATCATGGACAGGAAAATGACATTTAGTTACAAACACTATTATTTCTAATTATAGGTAATGAGGGACTGTTTTAAAATAGGTTTACTTCACTAATTTATGGACACAGTTTTTTTTAGTAAAGCTTGTTCTTCAGAACAACACATCAGGTTTATTATAAATTTACATTGAATGCAATGTGGCCATGCCATCAACATTGAATTAATATTATCACAATCTTAACATAGTACAAAACACTTTCTCTGTCCCTACCTATGTGAGCTTATATCTCTAAAACAACTTAACGGACTTTGATGCGGTATTTTTGTAATACGTAGAACACCCATTAAATAGTGGGGAAATTTTATATCAGCATTGAACCTGTGTGAAGCCAAGCCGGGTCATCATCATCATCAGCCTATAAGTGCCCATTGCTGAGCAAAGGCCTCTTCTCATCTGGAGAAGGTTAAAGAGAATGAATCACCATGGTGATTTCAAACTTACAATTAGAAAATAAAAGTCCAGGCTTTTTCACGATGTTTACCTTCACCGTATGTCAGTAGTGTTTAATTAATCATAGAAAGTACATATAACTTGGAAAAAGTCACATTGGTACTTGCCAGGTTTCACAACAACATTTAAAAAAAAACAATACATTATTTGACAACCACAAGCTGGGTCACTATTTGTCAATATATAATGGAGGTTGCATAGTCAGCAACCAATTATCATATCTTGTATGCTTTCATGCATGCATTTTCCACTTGTTTTATGACAATTAATGCTACAGTCTTCTAGAGCCTTTGCTCGGCAGTGGGCACTTATAGGCTGATGATAATGATGATGATAAACTATTTATTTTGCATTAACATTGAAATTCATGATTCTACTTAAATCATTATAAAATAATCTTGCAATTTAAATTACAAAATAATGTTGTAATGTATACTGGTGTGGTTCTTTCCTCAAAAGACCACTACAGAATGAACTTGCACGGTTCTCTCAAGAGACTAACCTCGGAGTTTGTTCTAGCATTTCTTCTCAGAGTAGTCAGAAGATAGGAAATGCCGGCTTCATCTAGTTTTTCACATATAAATTGACGTGTAAAAGTACCGTTTTTTGGCCTATTTGCAAAAATAAATTCATTGTTTCATTATACTAAATAAAAACATTGTTTAATGTTTTCAAAATAGAGACTAATAGAAGAAGAATTCTATATTTCTTTGTCCCACTGTAAAAGTAAGGCCTTCAAGTCAAACCTTTTTACATATTCTCATGTAGTTTAAAACCTGCCACATATCAATTCCTTTTTCCGAGAGTAATCTCCTTTCTAATATTGTTTAGACACTACTGACATACGATGACAGAAAAATCGTAATGAAATCTTTTTTTGTGAGGGGAAATTCATCAAATGACCTCTCTCGTCCAGGGTAAGGCGAGAGGGAGTGTCAGACTTTTAGTGACTTACCCCTCCCCCGTTCCTTCTCCTGCTCTAGGCCGAGGCCGCGGTATCTTATTGCGCTAGACCCGCAACCCCGGTAGAAAAATAAAATCGTGGTAAAAACAGGACTTACACTTTCTAATTATAACTTTGAATCGCCCATCTGCCTTGAGCAAGCGTTGCGATTATTAATGTTCAAACCTTCTCCGTATGAGAAGAGACCTTTGCTCCACAGTGGGCACAATATGAGGTTATTGAGAACGGTAGTTCTTTTCACCAATAAATAAAAACAATAAATTAAAAACTTCTCAACAAGTAATATCAGTACTTAATTGTGTTATGAGAACAATAGCTCTTCATTATATTAAAATTAAGTGATACAACTAGTTTTTTTTTTTATGGAGCTACCATTGAATAAGTCGATGATAATAAAAAGTTTTGTTACACGTACCATAAACAAGAACGCCAAGTTAGTTATTGTTTTTGTACCATTTAGGTCAGCCTACGAGCAGATGGATTACCTGATGGTAAGCAATTGACGCTGCCCTCACACTTGTAATACCAAAGGAGTTACTACAGGTGCGTTGCCGGCCTCTTGTATGTTATTGGGGATATGAGGATAGGGGGAGTGAAGAAATAGGCCGGTAACCTCACTCACACTGCGAAAAATAATATAGTCAGTGTTGCTTTACGCTGGTATTCTGTGAGGTCGTGGTATCACTCCAGTTGAGCCTACCAATTCGTCCCAAAACATGGCTCTCCCATACTTAGTTTGTGAGAGAGTAATTATTAATGTCGTGGTGGCCCGGAGGTTAAGGAGCCCGCTTCTCATGCACGAGGGTGTGGGTTCGAAACCTGGCAAGTACCAATGTGACTTTTTCCGAGTTATATGTACTTTCTATGATTATTTAGACACCACTGACATACGGTGAAGGTAAACATCGTGAGGAAACCTGAACATATAATTTCTGATTATAAGTTTGAAATCGCCAACCCGCATTGAGCAAGCGTGGTGATTAATGCTCTAACCTTCTCCGTATGAGAAGAGGCCTTTGCTCAGTAGTGGACACTTATAGGCTGATGATGGTGAATAATTGTTAAGATTTGGCGTAACACCTACTGAATTAATTTGGATCAAAATTGACACATGACATATAGGTCTTAAAAGACAGGCTTTGTTTCCTTTCCAACTAACGCGGGCGAATCCGCTAGCAAAAGCAAGCCATTACAATAAGTCAATTAGCAAATCTTGTATGTCCTTGAAATGATTCTCAGTTTTCGACCTAAATGACCCACTTCTATGTAATTAACAAATATTTCGTATTTACATACAAACTATGTTATCAATTTTGTACGGTTTTTTATTATCTGCACAGTTGCAGTGTTGATGTCGACTTTCTTTTATTTTGTCCTGGATCCTGGGTGTGTTTATAAACATACAAATTCATATACACGTCACACCCAGACCCGGTACAATTTGTGGATCGCACAGAGTTGTACTGTGCAGAAAAACGCCAACAGTTCAGTCAATGTTATATATAACATTTTTTTTTATTTTTTTATAAAAAGTTAAATACTGTTTTTTACTAAATATGTATATTAAAACTAGCCACACCCGCTACTACTGCTCTGCTGCATTTGGTTATAGCGTAAGGTTTTATAGCCTATAGCACTCGGGAACATTGTAGCTATCTATCAGTGAAAGAATTTTGGAAATACGACCAACGGTTCCAAAGATTACCCTCTACATAAAAACTTACCAATTTTACCTCTTTATAATATTAGTATCATCGATCACTAATAAAGAATAGACTAGATACACAATCCCATACAAAAGTTCGCTTCAAAACTGTCGCCAACTGTATTTAGGTACTTATACTTGAAATAAACATGCATTAATGTAAATTAAACCTTAAATGCATAGAGTTGTTTTTACAAGTTTTTACAAAACTGGCTCAATGAGCCAGTTTTTGTATTTCGAATTGAAGGTAGATGACAATAAGATTCAAAACCCGAATCAATGGTTTAAACCTGGACTAAAGATAAACCTTGTTTTGTAATAAGGAGGAAATTGTGTTCAAGCTGTGCTATCTCGCCTAGATCCAGTCTTATAGAGAATCAAAGTGTTATAAAATTAACGTACCGGACCCCTCCCCCGCTAGATCAGCAACAACCTTGTAACTTTAACTACTACGAGTATTCATTGGCAACGTTGATGGCTTACCTTCATTTTATTTTTGCTCACAACCAAGAGGTCAACTGCCACATTTGCTCTCCAACCACATAAAAGTTAGCCAACCCTTTCAAATTGATACTTATAGGTTCTTGTCAGAGTTCTAAACAAAATAAATCTATTTACGAGAAAAATAATATAAATAATATCCTTGGCGCGGTTAACAGTCGGCTTGAGGATGTCAATTGGATCACCAACATTTCAGAGGACACTGATTTTCATTTCGTTTCACGTGAAGGTTGCTATTCTACTGGGTTACTACTAGGGTCGACTAAGAACTAAGTTACTATCCTAACACTTAACTTTCTGAATATTAGTTGACCTAGTTCCCTAAATCCCCAAAAGACCGGGAAAGCACTTGTAGCACCCCTGATAGTGCGGTTGGCCACCGGCGAGTTGATTGCTTACCATCAGGTAATCCGTAGCCTCGTCTGACGGCTTCAGCACAAGACATCAGCTGTCTTAAACAGTCATCCTCTAATGACTTCCAGTTGAAAGTTCCGGTTGGAAGAGAAGTACAGACACACTTTTAATTTTTATCACTAATAAATAATTTAATGCTTTTTTTCCAGGTGAACCATCAATATGATGAATCAGGAGATAATGTGTGAGGTGGAGATTGGGACGCACGGGTCTATGGTGGAGATTGAGGGCGATGATCAAGTTGGAGTCAAGGTAAACTTTGAAAAAATACTCACATAATTATAGATCTTGAGAACAATTCAAAATGATTGGTATGTTGTTGCCTGCGTGGTGGTGTTGATAAAAATCAGTCTATGTTACACAGAAATCTGATACATTACCTTCCGCCTGCATTAGCTTGGTGGATAAAAAGTAGCCTATGTGTTAATCCAGGGTATCACCTATCTATACACCAAGAGATTGCGGGTTCGAAGCCTGTCAAGTACCAAGGTGACTCGCTATTATTTAGACACCACTAACACGGTGTGAAGGAAAACAAAGTGAGGAAACCTGGACTTATATTTTCTTAATTAAAATTTTGAAATCGCCAATCCGCCTTGAGCAAGCTCGGTGATTAATGCTCAAACCTTATCCGAATGAGAAGAGGCCTTTATTCACCAGTGGGCACTTATAGGCTGATGATGATGATGTAATGTTGTTATCCCTCGCAAGACATAGAAGAACTTTCTAGTGTAGAGCAATGTATAAAAATACTCATTGAAGTGTTTGAGATATTCCTTGTTGAGAGAAAAAATGATAACTCATTAAAATTCCTTGTATTTACAGTATGAAGAAATAGAGACTGGTCAATATGAGGAGTACATAACAGATGATCAGTATGAGGAAGTGGAGGAGCAGGTGATTGGTATGCAGCACCTCGAGGAAGGTACGGTCAACTGCAGTATCATTATTGTAATTATTTTAGTGATGTTCGAGGATGTCCGAAAATTTTTATGAGTTCCGGTTCAGCACGAAACTAGTCGAACATGCTCGAAAAGCATATAGTACATCGGACACGTATTTTGTCTTTTGTTACGGAATCTAGTACTTTCAAATTTATATTTAATTTATTTGAAATATCGTGTGACATCACGATGTGGTAGGTTTTATACAGAGACAAAAAAAGGTCAAAAGACAAAAACATTTATTTCAATTAGACTACTTACTGTTCAGGCATTATTGAACGTCAAACAAAACTATTTGCTCGTTCCAAATTGTAGATTCCTATGGAGAAGAACGAGCAAAAAACTCCATGGTTGCTCTTTTTAAATCAGTTCCACATACCTAGTGGGGACGTAACGAACTTCCACTGTGGAGAGAAAGGTCGCAATGTTACCGATTGCAACTGTTCAGCCGGGGTTGCGGGGTAAGCGCAATGAGGCACCGCGACCTCGGCCCAGAGCAGGAGAAGGAACGGGGGGGTTTTTAGTCAGTAAGAGTCTGACACTCCCTCCCGCTCGGCCCTGGGCGGGTAAAGTCATTTAATGATTTTCCCCTCACAAAAAAAAACCGATTGCAACTGTTGCAGTGCAACATCACTAGAATTCGTTTCATCAAGTTTTTTATACGACATAGTAAAAAAAATATGTGTCTAAATTTTTTTTTTACATTAACTTACTGACTACATATATATTTTCACACACCTGTCATTGTTACTATTGGTTGGTTGCATTGAATCATTGAATTTTAAAGAATTTACTATCTCCCTTTAACCCAGTCACAAGCGATTTATATTATACACGTAACTGTCCGACGAGGTGGCTCGTCTAGTTTCAATCCACTCGGGAACCCATAGACACGAACGGCATTCCATACGAGATATATGCCTTAAATATGTATTATTATGCCTTATTATGTACAGTATCGAGTTTTGCTCGACTTTTTTGAGGACGAAATTTATTTGGTTTTTTCATCCTCCATACATACATACATATTTCATTGTATATTGAAAGTAACTACTTACTATAACTATATATTAACTACTACTATCTTGGTATGTCTTTTTATAGTAAAGAGCTCGTATGAGATACAAACAAACATTATTTTAAATTCAGTTTATTAGCTAAAATCGATTTAGGTAAATACCAGATTGCACCTTGATCGATGTTAGCTAGCTAAGTTTGGGAGAGCCATGCTTCGGCACGAATGAGTCGGCTCGACCACCGTGACCTACCACGGCCTCACAGAAAACGGCGTGAAATAACCAAAGAGTTGTGCTTCGCCTTGTGAGTGAGGTTACCGAAGGCCCAATCCTTCCCCTACCCCAATCCGTTCCTTTTCCCAAAATCTCCAAATCCCTAATCCCCAAAAGGCCGACAACGTACTCGTCGTTGCGGGTGTCCATGGGCGACGCTGATTGCTTACCATCAGGAAACCCGCTTGCTCGTTTGCCGACCTATCACATAAAAAAACCTGATTATAAACATTTTTATTTAAAACTTTTAGATAAAAAGACATGCCAAGATTGTTTACATTTAGTTAATTGCCTAAACCTATAGACAATAGTTTCAAATGATACAAGCATTAGTAAGTCCTTATTTTTAATATGTAAGCCACAATACAGTTACCATATCAAAAAAAAGTTTTTTATTAATTTCTCAACTAATTTGTTCATGCTTCATCATCATCGCCATCATCATACATAAAAACTAACTATGACAAAAATGTCGGCATCGCTGACAGACTATAAAATTTCAGTTGGCAGTGAAGAGGTCATTTTACCTGGAATATCCGGGGAAGAGGTCCTGAACGCGAGCACGGATTCCCATTACGATCCATTATACACAGTGCCGCCATCTACAAGCAGGTAACGTTATTATTATTATAAATTAATACCATAAAAATAAGTTCGGTTTACCTTCCTGACGCTGTTATTATTCGATTGGAAATACACCCAAGTCCAACAGTCCCGGGTTAGTGTAGGACAAAATAGTCAAAAGTCGAAAATCATTTATTCCAATTAGACCCTTATAGGCACTTTTGAACGTCAAACAAAATTTTGAAGATATAGTGTCAGTCTGTCGGTCAGTCCTCTTAGTGAAGCTATTTGTTCGTTCCAAAGTGTAGATTCCTATAGAGAAGAACGAGCAAGAAACTCCATGGTTACTATTTTTAAATCAGTTTCACAAACAGATTCCTTATACAAACAGTTCAATTTCAAGGAAAAAAAGGACTATGGAAGGACTGGCACCTGCCGAAACAAAGTAATGAATACACGTATAAATGGGAGGTGGACGCCAACTGACTCCCGGGCCCCCGGGAATGGTTGCTAGTAATAGCAACAAAGTTGAACTGAAGCAATGTATTGCCGGAACGGATATCTAAACACCTAAATTATCCAAATCGGTCGAGCCGTTCTCCAGCATAAGCGGGACTTTCTTTTCTACTTGCTATAAACTAGTGCTTGACTGCGATCCTACCTGATGGTAAGCAGTGATGCAATCGTTGATGGTAAGGCGCGCTAATTTATTAAGAGCCTATTCACTCTAGCCTTGAAGACACCTAAATTATATTTGGACGGAAAGACTGCACTTATAGACTAACGAAAGCAATTCATTTTTATTTATAAAATAATGTTATTTTACGAACTATCGGTCTAAATAGATTTTAAATTTTCATACCTTGTCCAATTACTATTCCTATAAATAAAAAATAAAATCTGTATTTAATTTTTTTTGTTTCTATAACAGTTTGCCTGATTCTTCCAACAGAGGGCGCGGCAGGCCTCGTTCAAATGTCAACAATAACGCCAATAATATACAGCATTTAATGCCTATAGGTAAGTTTATATTTACATTACATAAAGAAAAAGTCAGTCAAAATCAAATGATTTATTCCAACTAAACCATAAATAGGTACTTTTGAAATGTCACAATAGAAAAGTAGTCTCTAAGTCTGTTGGTCGGTAAAGCTAGATACTCGTTCCAAATAGTAGATTTGAATGGAGAAGAACGAGGAAGAAACTCTATAATTTTAATAAATAAAAAATGAATTATATTTCACAATGATGGTTCTTCTGATAATACGGTAGTTTTCAACTAGTCAAATTCAATACTTTTATCCAAATGTCAAAAACTATACTTTTCTATGAAATTTTTTTCAACAAACTCTTCGACTTTTTAATATTAATAACTATAGATAGTTAAAATATTATTTCTTACTGGTAGATTTACATATTACAACTTTATTATATTTCAGGAGAAGTTCCCGTAGGTCTCATGGATGGAGTATCAGGTCGAGGGCCGGCGCGGCGCTGGGAACAGAAGCAAGTCCAGATCAAAACTATGGAGGGAGAGTTCTCAGTCACCATGTGGGCTACTGGGGAAGATGATGGTAAGGTCAACTTTGTTGCATTTTTCCTAGTCCAAAATAACTTTAAATCTATTCGGATATTTAAAAATCAGACTGGGTAACTTTTTTATGTCATAAGAAGGCAAACAGATTACCTAATGGTAAGCAATCGGCGCCGCCCATGGACACCTGCAACACCAGCATAGTTTCGAGTACGGTGACGGTCTTTTGGGCTTTCGGAGATTTAGGGATTGGGGATGCGGTAACATCTCACTCACACGGTGAAACGCAACGCTGTGGTTGTTTCTCGCTGGTATTCTGTGAGGCTGTGGTATCACTCCGGTCCAACGAGCCATTCGTGATAAGACATGGGTCTTCCACGCTTGAAAAATAGTTTGTGAAATACTTATATCAACAACACGTCACTTTAAGCGGATGATATATTAATAAACATATTACACTCAACGAACAAGGCATTCTATTTATTGGTCAGTATTCATAATAATAAAAAAAATATTTTTCAGATGACGGTTCCAATCCCGAGCCGGATCCCGACTACACAGAGTATATGACCGGCAAGAAGAGTATATTAGGAAGTGAATCCATGCCCGGTAAGCACACAAAATTAATTATAGTTTTAGCCATGGCTTCGGCAGGTGCGTAGCGATTCCCGCGCGCCTCAAAGAGTCTATAGACCACCACAGACGGGGCCCTGTAGGGCTGATGTTCAGCTGGGGTTGCGGGGTAAGCGCAATGAGGCACCGCGGCCTCGGCCCAGAGCAGGAGAAGGGACAGGGGGGTTTTTAGTCAGTAAGAGTCTGACATTCCCTCTCGCCTTACCCTGTTGGGAGAAGACATTTGATGATTTTCCCTTACGGAAAAAAAGTCTGTTTTGATACTGCTACTAGTCAGCGAGAGCTATCAAATACCTATCTAACTATTGATCTAGTCTTAATTTTAGTACTGAAATTCAATCTTTATGAAGTAGTAGTATGTTCTAGAGTCTAGTCTAGACAGTCGGGGATGCGGGCTCAACATCAATTGGGTAGTTCCCTAGGTCAAAAATAAATTAATTCGACGTTTCAATACAATAAAATATTGAAAAATAACACACTATATTTTCATTCATCGGTCGATAGATCGATACATTAAGTTTTAGATATTTTTTGGCTAATTTTTAAGACGCAAAAATACTATGACGGCATAACTCAGTAATCCATATAAATTTTATAGGAAAGCATCATTTTTGGCATTTGGATAAAAGTATTGAATTTGACTAGTTGGAAACTACCGTATTATGTACTGGGCCCTAGTCTGGAGCAGGAGAAGGGACGAGTGGTTTTTAGTCAGTAAGAGTCTGACACTCTCCTTCTCATGATGGCGATCTAGGATGGGAGAAGTCGGTTGAAAATTGTCCCTAGTTAAAAAAAAGTATGTCCTAGAAAGCAACCACCAATCTACGAAACCAATTTTCTTTATTTTTATAAAAACATTCCCTACATTAGGATGTTCACCTGTGTCGTGGTTGCGTTTACAAACATACAATTCCACATACACATCACACCCAGACCCGGAACAAAAATTCGTGCATCACTCAAAGAGTTGTTCAGCCACCGTGCCAACTGTGCATTCTAATGCTTGAAAATCTTTTTCCAGGTCTAGACTTGTCAGATCCGAAACAGCTGGCAGAGTTTGCGCGTCCCGGTCACAAGATAAGACTAAAGAAACCCATGCCAGAATCTTCAGATAGAACTATTGGTGAGTGAGATTCTTTTTTAAAGCTAGTATTTTTACTTACGACTCTAGTAAAGAAATTTTTGTTTATGTCGGCATGCGGATAACCTGATGGTAAGCAATCTATTCCGAATATGTAGTTACAAGTTGGGATTTGAGGATTGAATAGAGATTGAGAAAGGATTGAGTCTCTGGTAACCTAACTCGTGTTGTGATCCGGCCCTCTGCTGAGCAAAGGCCTCTTCTCATTAGGAGAAGGTTTGAGCCCTATCACCACGCTTACTCAAGCCGGATTGGCGGTTTCAAACTTATAATTAGAAATGACTATAACTCCAGGTTTCCTCACGATGTTTTCCTTCACCATAATATGTCAGTGGTGTCTAAATAATCATTGAAAGTACATATAACTCGGAAAAAGTCGCATTGGTACTTGCCAGGTTTCGAAACGGACGCCTTAACCTTATAGGCTACTATGACATTACTTTATATCTAACACTAGCTACTCTCGCGCGGTTTCACCCGCTGCTCGGCTCCATTTGATCGTAGCGTGATTTTTTATATTCTAAAACACTCAGGAACATTGTAACTATCTATCAGTGAACGAATTTTGGAAATCTGACCAGCGGTTCCAAACATTATCCCCTACATACAAACTTACAAATTTTACCTCTTTATAATATTAGTATAGATATGTATCTTCAATACTTCAGACATAATGAATTCGCATAAATTAGTATACCTTTCATTAAATAATTTTGTATGTCTCATAATAGAATAGAAATTTTAAGTGTGGGAGAGCCATGCTTCGGCACGAATGGGTCGGCTCGACCGGAGTGATACCACGGCCTCACCCAAAACCGGCGTGAAATAACCACAGCGTTGTGTTTCGCCGTGTGAGTGAGGTTACCGGAGGCCCAATCCTTTCCCTCCCCCAATCTCTCCTAAATCCCTAAATCTCCAAATCCCTAATCCCTAAAAGGTCGGCAACACACTCGTAACTCCTCCGTTGCGTGTGTCCATGGGCGGCGCTGATTGCTTACCATCAGGTAATCCGTCTGCTCGTTTGCCGACTTATTACATAAAAATAAATAGAAATTAAAAATTTATTTTATTTTTACAGCGTGTCCCCACAAAGGCTGCACGAAGATGTTCAGAGACAACTCGGCTATGAGGAAACATTTGCACACGCACGGGCCCAGGGTACACGTTTGTGCTGAATGTGGTATGTATATACATTCAAGTTATCTTTTTAATGGGACAAACCCACCGCAACCTCCTAAAACCACTGCAACTCCTGTAAGCCAGGATGTAGAGTAGAATCAGAGTCAAAGTCAAAATCATTTATTCCAATTAAACCATAAATAGGTACTTTTGAAACGTCAAATCTGTCAGTCTGTTCGTCAGTGAAGCTAGGTGCTCATTCCAAATTGTAGATTCGAATGGAGAAGAATGAGCAATAAACTCCATTGTTACTCTTTTTTAAAAAAATATGTATCTTTTACAATTTCACTAATATAACATTTAGTATACATTATTGTAGGCACCCTTATGTGAGAACAATGCAGAGACAAGTTGTAAAAAAAAGAACAAATGATGGGATCTATCATAAATTTTAATTCTTTGTCGTCTCGAACATGGCGCTCACATATGCGTACTCGCAATCTTTAAGAGTGCTTCTAAATAAACTCTTTGGATGTATAAGTTAAGGATTCATTCATTTTGAGAATTTACATTTGAGATTTTTTAGATACAACCATGAAAAGTTATATCTTCAAAGTATCCCACTAATATTATAGATGTTAAAGTTTGTGAGAGTATATGGATGTATGTTTGTTATTATTTCACGCAAAAACGACTGGACCGATTTGATTGAAAGTTGTTATGTAGATAGGTAATATTATAATAGTAGTAGAAATCTTTATTTCAAGCTCAGAGTTCATAAATGGTTAGTTACAATTTTCTTATATAACTAGAGTTAGTAGAACATACAGATTCCATTATCAATTACCTACAATCAAATAATAAATGACATTAACAAATAAAAATTCAGGGCAAAATAAAAATAAAATAAATTAAAAACAAAGATTGATATAAAATTAAAAAATAAACTGGATTAAAATTGAGATTAAAAAAAAATTTGGCTTTATAGGCATAGGCTCCTTTATGCAAGTTTATCCTATGCCTGTGCCAAATTTCATCTAGATACGTCCAGACATTTTGAGCTTTATTGATTAACAAACATCCAAACATCGTAAGTTTCACATTTATAATATTAGTAAAAAGTAAAATATTTCTGGCGGAACGAAGTTTTTTGGGTCAGCTAATAATGGTCTGCGGACGGCGAGAAAGGGTAGCTCGCCGCCCGAACAGAACCAGACCCGAGCGTACGGCGCGTAGCGTTCCGCGCGCGCCTCACAGTCCCAATAGACCACCACAGACGGGGCCCTATAGGGCTGATGTTCAGCCGGGGTGGAGGGGTAAGCGCAATGAGGCACCGCGACCTCGGCCCAGAGCAGGAGAAGGAACGGAGGGATTTTAGTCAGTAAGAGTCAGACACTCTCGCCTAGCCCTGGACGGAAGAAGTCATTTGATGATTTTCCCCTGACAAAAAAAAGCTAATAGTCTAGTACTAGTCTTTAATTATATCACCATACATCTATCACAAGTTAACATAAAGCTGTACTTAACATCTACTTCTCTAATTACAGGTAAAGCGTTTGTAGAAAGCTCAAAATTAAAACGCCACCAATTAGTCCACACTGGCGAGAAACCTTTCCAGTGCACGTTCGAGGGCTGTGGGAAGCGATTCTCCTTAGATTTTAACTTAAGGTAAGTATATTAGAATAATCAACCTCCTTATATCCTTGTTGACTGGACAAGATACATTTCAACTAGGCAAAGTCAATAATTTTATCCAAATATCAAACATATGCTTATAAGTGTGGGAGAGCCATGCTTCAGGACGAATGGGTCGGCTCGGCCAGAGTGATACCACGGCCTCACAAAAAACCGGCGTGAAACAACCACAGCGTTGTGTTTCGCCGTGTGAGTGAGGTTACCGGAGGCCCAATCCTTCCCCTTCCCGGACCCTTCCCCAATCCCTAAATCTCCAAATCCCTAATCCCTCAAAGGTCGGCAACGCACTCGTAACTCCTCCGTTGCGGGTGTCCATGGGCGGCGCTGATTGCTTACCATCAGGTAATCCGTCTGCTCGTTTGCCGACTTACTGTCTATGATTATTTAGACACCACTGACATACTTTGAAGGAAACATCGTGAGGAAACCTGGACTTATCAAGTTTGAAATCGCCAATCCGCCTTGAGCAAGCGTGGTGATTAATGCTCAAACCTTCTCCGTGTGAGAAGAGGTGGACACTTATAAGCTGTGATGATGATGATGAATAAAAGTATAGTTATTTTTCAATATTTGTTTATTTTTGACCCTTGGATCTCGTCTTCTTCCAGAACCCACGTCCGCATTCATACAGGCGACCGTCCGTACGTGTGTCCCTTCGATGGATGCAATAAGAAGTTCGCCCAAAGCACCAACCTCAAGTCACATATACTTACACATGCTAAAGCCAAGTAAGTATACATCTAGAGGCAGTAGTTTCCGGAGACCCAATAATAATATCATTTAGATTAAAGTTGTCTAGTCTCTGCGCAGTTGGCTTCGGCCCCTCGTACGCCTTCCAAATGACTGGGACCCTGTGGTCCGGTGGTTGGTAAAGACATACATAATAATAATAATAATTCTTTATTGAAAAAAGGACTGCACGGTTAATTCGGTGGCATGGCATCTGGCTGCCGTGCAACGTGTCGCGGGTTCGATTCCCGCACGGAACAACACTGTGATTCACAAATTGTTGTTTCGACTCTGGGTGTCATGTGTTTGTGACATTGTATGTTTGTAAACGCACACACAACACAGGAGAAAATCCTAAAGTGGGGCAACGGTTTATTTAAAAAAAGGATATAACATTTAACACTATACAATAAAACAATATCCAATCATTCCCCTTCCCCCTAAATCTCGAAAATCTTATCTCTAAAAGGCCGGCAACACACTCATAAGCCTTCTGGTGTTGTACCGTTAACATCAGGTAATCCGTCCGCTCGTTTGCCGACCTCTCACCTATAGAAGGCATATAAGCCACTAGCCTAATCATGCGCAGTTTCACACACTGCTCGGGTCTCCTTGGTCATGCATGGTGTTATGTTTCATACTAAGTGCGGGAGAGCCATTCTTCAGAACGAATGGGTCGGCTCGACCGAACCAATACCACGGCCTCATAGAAAACCGGCGTGAAACAACCGCAGCGTTGTTTCGCGGTATAAGTGAAGTTACCTAAGGCGCAATGCTTTAAACTATAATGATATTACTAACTGGGTCCTCTCGCGCGGTTTGACCCGCTGCTCGGCTCCATTTAAGTGTAGCGTGAAGTTTTATAGCCTATAGCACTCAGGAACATTCTAGCTATCTATCAATGGAAGAATTTTGGCAATCCGACCAGCGGTTCCAAAGATTACTCCCTACATACAAACTTTCAATTTTTACCTCAGTATAGATTACCAAAGAAAATACTGTTCTTAACTTGTTGTAAGTCAACTGTAGTATTTAAACATGTGATTTTAACAATAAATTTCCTTTTTTCAGATCAAGAAACTCACTATCACGGAACGGTGGTAATTCCTACGAATCGGCGCGAACAACGCCGCAGTACGTCCAATTAGAAATGTCTCCGGACGACTCAAACCCTCAACTTATCTTCTACACTCACGAATGAAGCAAGAAAATCAGTGAAACAAGACTTGTGAATTGTGATGATTAAAGACTTTTTTTTAGTGTCGTAAAAATCGCGCAAAAATATCAAAACAATGTCCTAAAGTGATATCTAAGTGATTAAAGTTTGAATAGTAATTCAATTATGAATTTTTTCAATGTGGTTCATATGCAAGGACGCTAGTTAAGCGCTCGAAGCAAGACATTTTAATATTCGAAGCAAGAAAAACAAAAATTGCAAGACTGTTGAACAGTTTTGCATAGTGATCCAGATAAGTGTATGTTTTAACTTTTTATTATTTCTATATTTTCATAAGCTTTGGAATAGACCAAAGGTATTTTACGTTTTAAAAAAAGTAATTTTAGTTTTACATTACTGTATTTCAGTACTGTTTACTAACGAAATTGTATTATTGGCACATTTCTCTTATGTTTTCGCACCGTTTGCTTTGTTTAAAATAACTATAAAACTCAGCTTAGCGTGTTTAAACATAAAAGCTCAATAATCTAAAAAAAATCCTAAGTCACTCGTCTAGTTTCAAGCCCCGATAGGGTCCATAGGCATTGCTCGAAAACCATCGAATGTCGTGCTATAGGATCGTTCGATATTATGAATAAAAAATACGCTTTGTTTTTAAACACCTAAGCTGAGGATAACGCAATGAAATCCATAATATGTTTATACCTAAAACAATATATTTTTCTTTATTTAGTCTTATGACTGGCGTGAAAAGGTTTCCGTGTGAAGAACAACCTCTTTTTTGCATTATGGAAATTAAATATTATAATTTAAAGTAGGTTATGTAAGATATGGAATGATCCTTCATTGTTGTTTATAAATACTGCATATTGATGTTTGGAGTGAAACAACTTCTTTAATTTTTGTATTATTTGAGGAGGGTCTTCTGGGGGTTTTAGTCACTCATAAAGAAGCTGCATACATGTAGGCGGAGACTTGGCCAATGGTCTCTTTCCAAAGGTTGAATTGCCGTATTTACCGGTGTGTACTATCAATAATATTCCTCAGTCACAGATAGACAGTCTGAAGATAAGCCACTTCTCAACTATGAGGGTAAAAGCTCAAAACCTGTAAGTTCCAATGTGACATTTCAAAGTTATATGTAGTTTCTAACATTATTAAGGCACCACTGACATACCATGAAGGAATTCCTCGTGAGAAATCCAGGACTTATAAATATCAAAATATAAGTTTGAAAAGGCAATAAACTTTGAGTGACCATATTGTTTCAATTGTCACATTCATGTGACAAAAAAAGAAACAGGATTATTCCAAACACAATTCTATGCTGTTACTGAGACCTTAAAAAAACAAGTTCCTAAAAAAGAGGTTGATCTTCACAAAGTTAAAAGGAATTTGTAAATTTTGTACCATATAAATGCCAAAAAATATTATGTATTGTATTATAATTTTCATCGAGTTAAGTTGAGGGGAATTTGTGTGATTCCACTATCACAAATGACTTCCATAGGCTATAAATTGTCATTTTATCTATAAACAGACTGCTGAATATGATCTTTGGTGATTTGAATCTATAAAAGTGATAATGACAGTTTTTTTTATTGTAAATAACAACTTGGCACGTGAATTAACTAAGAAATGCTGTACTATTTTTAAATACTATAAAAACAAGTATGCTGTCTGCACATCAAAATATTTGGAAAAAATCTGTGTATGTATCTTTTAAAGCCGTTTTGATAACTTACTAAGAATAACTTTTATAGGTATCATACGAATTTCCCTTTATGTGTGTGCTTGCAAAGATATTCATTGTAATTTTGTTGTATCCTAGTAATATAAGAAAACTTTGAAAATAATTTGGAAATCTTGTAACAGCCCCTTGAACTTTCAAACAAGAAATCGTACATTTTAATTGTTAATCCTTCAAAAAGTTGTAATATTTTTGCAAGCATACGGTAGTGTTTATTTTTTAGTTCTTTTTTATAAGTTTAGGGGTATAAATCGACGCTTCCTTTTGCAGAAAATGTATTTAAGCAGTTCTCAGATGACTCTTTAAAAATATTATTTCATTTATATTTTTTTTAAATATAGATTTTTAAGTATTTGTTCTTTACATTTGTAGTACTTAGAAGCCAGAAACTGCAAAATTTTACAAGCATTTCAAGGCAAAACAGGACAACTTATCTAAATTACGATTGACAAAGCCATAAACGCCAGTAGCGCCATCTACAGATTGCGAAAACTTTCTTCTGTTTTTGTAAAGCTTCCTTTTCCTGTATCAAACATTCAAATATTTTATTTAATGAAATATGAATCTGCTTGAATACATTTTTTGTCCTCGTTGATAGTCTTAAATTAAGGATTTTTCTAAAATGACTGATGCAACTGTATATATGATTATTTTCAAGTTTTTTAATAATGTGTTGCTGTATTTGACTGAGAAACGTTGTTAGTCAAAATTAGATTAATTCCTTCTTTTAATTTAGTCAACTTAGTGATGTTTACTTTTATTATTTAATTGTATTATTAAAATTTTGAAGTTAGTGAGTTGTGTATAAAAATTTTTGTACTTTTTATGTCCTGGTCAAGATAAACCGAAATTTCCGAAAACTATTCAATTAATATTTATAATTGATTCTTACATTCTAAATTCTGTCATATTTTTAACAGAATTTATAATAAATCGTGTTTAAAATAGTATTTCATCATGTAATCTTAAAAATCAAAGATTTTCTTGCTCTAAAACTTTCAGCATTTCTAATATTATTCTATTCTCACTGATTTTGAAATTTGTATTTTTATTACAAGTCCAATACAGCAGCACATTGGAGTACTCAATTGATGAGACAAACGAATAAATTGTAAATATTTATATACATTATGTGTTTTATTTTATACACGACTGACTGTCTGACTCAACCCCACTATAGGATGATCAAGGGACGATCTCCGGCCACCGTAAGAGTGAGAGGAACTGGGACGCCGTCTCCTCCTTTTGTGAAGCAGTCATGCTCGCAAAGAGAGAGGCGGCCCGCGTGAGGGAGCAATCCTCCTCCTCACGCCCCAGCAGCCGCAACTGGCGACACTACGGGCGTGGGGATCAAGGGACGATCTCCGGCCACCGTAAGCACGGGCCTGCGGTCGGCGAGTAATGGCAGCTCGCCGCCCGACCAGAACCAGGCCCAAGCGTACGGCGCGTAGCGTTCCGCGCGCGCCTCAAAGAGCCAATAGACCACCACAGACGGGGCCATAAAGGGCTGATGTTCAGCCGGGGTTGCGGGGTAAGCGCAATGAGGCACCGCGACCTCGGCCCAGAGCAGGAGAAGGAACAGGGGGGTTTTTAGTCAGTAAGAGTCTGACACTCCCTCCTGCCCGGCCCTGGGCGGGAGAAGTCATTTGATGATTTTCCTTCACAAAAAAAAAACCCACTATAATCTTTCAAGGGTTTCCAAAGTCAAACTCAAATCATTTATTTCAAACTAGCTTTTGCCCGGACTCCGTTCGCGTGGAATAGTGACTTCCTGCAGATTTTTGGTATAAAAACTATCCTATGTCCTTTCTCGAGTTCCAAACTATGTTTGCACCAAATTTCACGCAAATAGGTTCAGTAGTTTAGGCGTGAAGAAAAAACAGGAAGTCAGACGGTTACTTTCGCATTTATAATATTAGTTTGGATAGGCCAGACAAAAAAAATCCAAATCAGTCCAGGGGTCTTCGAGTAATCGGTGAACATACAAAAAAAAGGATCCGACGAATTGAGAACTTCCTCCTTTTTTGAAATCGGTTAAAAAGTGTTCAACTTTGTCTGACAGTCTGCCGATGCCGGTCCTCTAGTCCTCTAGGTCCTCAGTGAAGATGTGTGATGAAGATTCTAATGAGATATTCCTATATCGAAATTAAAAATAATAAAATAGGAGAAGTAGTCGTTCGCCAGGTTTTTGACAAAAATATGGCCAAAATTCATCAGGCGACAAATAGTAGGTAATCTTACACTTTTTTAGCTATCAGCTTTATTTTGACATGAAAAATTTACAGATTTGTTCTCTCAGCCTGGGTAGAGCAAGAGGAAGTGTCTGACTCTTACTGACTAAGGCCAGTAAGGTACTACCAGGCCGAGGCTATGGTAAATTATTGTCCTTGACCAGGTCGGAAGCAATCATCTTCTTGTCACCGTTGCGTCTAATATGTTTAGAATGAGTTGTATCAGTTGATTGCCCTATTAGCGCAATGGAAAGGCAACGGGCTTGATGTTGATGCTTAACGTTTTGGGGGTTCGATTCCCGGAATGAACATCTCTGTGTGATTCATAAATATACGTCAGGTTTGGGTGTGTTTTAGGATTTTTCCTATATCATAAGGCATTATTTTAAAAACGCATCACGTCCAAACCTGAAACGTAATGTCCATTAAACGTCGACGACCATGAAGGACGTTCGAAGAATATAAATTCAGACAAGGAAATAAAATAAATGTGCTAAACCTGTGTTTTTCATTTGTTATTATGTCCAAACAGTAAAATGAGTTGGTTATTTAAAGGATTTTCAACCGCGCTTCATCAGTCAAATATAATGAAATGAGCGGTGGCCTTTCCAGATTGATACCTACATACTCTAGGAGCTCATATTTCTAACAAGGAGCCAAAGAGTATGTAACCACTACGTTTAAAGGAGCGGGCATTTTGACTGTATCCAGACAAACAGAGCCCAGACACAGGGAGGTTTTAAGAATAAAAAACTTACTTAATTGCTTCAAAGTGCAATAAGTTGATTAAATGAATCGAAAAATACGAAGAAATAATGTTGCTTCTTTCAGTGGTTTTACAACAATTTTTAAACATGAAGACTATGTTCTCGACTTTGATGGTAAAAAAAATATTTCCACTTTGTAATTAAAGTATCGATGATAAACAGAGTAACTAAACAGTTCTGCTTATTATATTGTTATTATAATGTCAAAAAAAACGAAAAGAAATCGTAATCAATATTTATCAAAATGTCGGTAATCGCAAAAACGAAACGCAGTGTGATTATTTTGACAGTGACATTTATTTTTGTGTTCGACTGTGCAAGTGACGTGTAAGCTGCTTTCGTCGGCACCCTATAGTTATTTCCTTAACGGAAACCCAAAAAAGCTCAAAATGAGCTTCAAACGCGACAAAAAGGAGGAAGAGGATAGCGGCGGGAATCCATACCAGAACTTGGACAAGACAATAATACTCCAAGAAGCGAGATATTTCAACCAGTCGCCTGTGAATCCTCGAAAATGTTCCCTTATTTTGACGAAAATCCTGTATTTACTGAACCAGGGGGAGCAGAAGTTCAGTACCCAAGAGGCTACGGAAGCATTCTTCGCTACAACAAAGCTTTTTCAATCAAAAGATGTGATGCTACGGCGTATGGTGTACTTGTGTATTAAGGAATTGAGTACATTGGCTCAAGATGTGATTATAGTGACTTCTTCTCTGACGAAAGACATGACTGGGAAGGAGGATTTGTACCGAGCGGCTGCTATAAGAGCCTTGTGCAGTATCACAGACAGTACGATGCTGCAAGCCATCGAAAGATACATGAAACAAGCAATTGTTGATAAGAATTCTGCCGTCAGTTCTGCAGCGCTGGTTTCCGCTCTGCATCTGTCGTCGACTGCCCCCGACTTGGTCCGTCGATGGGCTAATGAAGCTCAGGTTTGTAACTTTTATTTAAAATAGTTTTTTTGGTAATATTTGTAAACATATGTCTGTTTAGGTAGATAGACATCTAAAGAAAAATAAAACAATTTTGAGTTTAAAATAAAATATTTATAGTATTTATTTGTGAAATAGAAAATATATTGATAAAAAATAATATTAATTAGTACAAGAAATTCTACAACTTCTAGTATCTTTTCAGTGAAACTAATAGTTATAATGAATTACCTACCTATTATAATATATGTTAATTCAGTATGATAGTGAATAAATGTTGCTATATTTTTCTTTATATCTTAAAGCTGTATTAATATTGACAAAATGACCAAGGAGTTTCAACATTTTACTAAATTGCATCATTCATAAAAAAATAATATTATCATAGTTCAAGAAACAGATCATACTCCTTGTTAAAATTTATTTATTCATTTAAATATTACAGGTCAAAAATGATTACACTACTCAATTCTTAGGTAATATACTTAATATACACACATAATAATAGGCAAAAAATAATAATATTATGGCTGTATTCACTCATATCGCTCACAAAACTTTAAGCATTCTCACAAAAATATTCTTCTTTTGCTCAAGAACACATCACAGATTGGCTTTGCCTCCAGAATCTGGACTTATCACTCCTCTGGTGGTGTATAGGCCCATCCAGTAGTTGGCCTCCGCTCCTAATATATCATAAAAATTTTAATTATTCTTTTCTTTTGTGTTACACGATATCTATACTTATATTATAAAGGTGAAAAGTTTGTTTGTTCGTTATTTTGAATTTGCTAATCTCAGGAATTACTTGTTCAAATGCAATGAAGTATATTTTTGTGTTGAATAGGCTATTTATCAAGGAAGGCTTTATGCTATAAAATATTTTTAATTAAAGAAGAAACGACTTCATAAAGTAAACTAAAAAGCAAAAGTAATACATATTTTCAT